AACTTGTCTCTCTTACTTCCATTCTCTACTAGGTGACACAATAGAGAATAATGGTAATTTATTATTAAACTCTAATAAGTGAGAGTGTTGCCACTAGATATCATAAGAACTCTAGAGTTGTGTGTTCAGATTAGAGCAGTGACAGAATTGATGACCTTATGAGAAGTTATTTCAAAAGCCATTTGAAGAAAAAATATAATACCATTACTCTTTGGCTACGACAATGATTGATCCAAAGAATACCCTTATTCCACCATCAATCCACCTAACACCCTCACCTGATGCACCCAAGTTAGAACAATACTAAGACTTATCCTAAGAAGTGGAGTAAAAATATGTTTGAAACTAGAGTAGTACCATGATGGGTAACTCCATTGGGCAAGGGCTAGGTTTCAAGTTGCAGTGTATGGGTTAGAGTAGTACCATAGTGGGTGACTACTTGGGAAGGGGCTAGGCCTAAGCACCCATAATGCAACAAAAAAATAAAATGCACAAAATATTATTTATTATTTTATTATAATTTAGTGATATTGATTGGGTACACATTTTTCTTTTTCGTAATCTTTGGGTGACAAAGAATTTATAATGGATTGTTTTCTTTAGTTTCATTCTCTTTTGTTTCTGCATTTACACTTTATCCTCATATTCTTATATATCAAGTGAGTGACACATTTTGATAGAGAGTATCTAATTTATTATTATTATTATTATTATTTTATCAATTTTAGAATAAATCTAAAATTAAAATCTATTTTTTCTACTAGATTTTAACAAAAACAAAAAATAGAGTGCTTAAATATTATGTTTTGATAAATCATCATTGCAAAGACAATCATAATTCATTATAATTCTCATTTAATTTCTTATGAAACTCAATTTTATCAATTTTATAATTCTAGATATTTTATAAGAAATTATTTACACACATCATTTCATATCCAAAAATTACTCCCATGAGCTCCCATCTTGGTTAGACACAAATCATCTTTATAATATATTACTTCAAATATTTCTATCCTTAAAAAGATTTTTGTGACTCCAACCATCTAAGTTAGATGTGTCTCATCCTCAAAATTCATATCGTTTAACTTCAACTTGTGTCATTCAAGTATACTTTGTAACTTGAAGTATAACTCAACTATAAATTAAATAATCTGAATCACCTCCTCAAATGTTATGCATCAAATAGCTCAACTCTATATTTTTCTCACAACTCATTACCCTATTTTCACATGTAGGTGTTGTTTCTCAACTTAATTTAGTCATTAGTTCATTTGGCTTCAAGTGAGCCTCATGTTGCTCTCCTAGCTTGGTCTTAGTTGATGCCGACCCTTAGATCATCTCATGTGTGAGTGGGGACATCATACTCGACATTACTTCCTTGCCACTTCTTTTAGTATCTCCAAACACTTCCCCCCTTTCCATGCACCAAGTTGTTCAACTCTAGGTTTTCCTTATGACTCACCTTATTTTTAGGAGTGATTGTTCATTCCCAACTCACTCTATTTTTAGTTATTAGTTCATCTGACTTATAGTGAGCTTCCTATTGTTCCCCTAACTTGGTCTTAGTTCGTATCAACCCTTTGTTTATCTTAAGAGGGAGTTGGGGACATCATATTTAACATTACCTCAATGGCAAAGATTGCATGTTGTACTTTTAGACATTTGTTTGATTTCTTCTTCCATGGTAGATAGGCAATGCACTTTTTACTTCAGTTTTTCAAATTCTTTCTCTATATTTTCATCTTTCTCATTATTATATTTCGATATCATTGTATTGTAGTTATTGACTTTGATATTAGATGATGTACAACTTTGGGTTAGGGCTGTGAAAATGAAAGAACTCACAAGGAAAAAACTAAACTTACAAGGTAATCAGCCATAAAGGAGTTCTCTGACTTAGGGGATACCTTCACTCCTACAAGAGATCAATTGTAGAATACCTCTTTCCACCCTCTCATGTAACTAAAAAACCCACATTTTTTATAACCCTAATTCTTTCCTAATTTTGTCTTATACCACTGCTCGAGCCTTACGAGCAATTAAATAATTATCTCTTTCTTCTTTCTATGGTACTTAAGCCATGGGCCCATTCAACTGGTATAAGGTCTATTTATTTTTTATTTTTTATTGTTTAACTTTAAGCTCCTAATAATTTAGAAAACTTCTATCAAATATAAATTCATCACAATTTTATAGTACTTCAATCTGGTTGATCTACTCCACTCCTCAAAGATCAAGTCCTTCAGTTCCACTAACTCCCACTTATTTACAAGTTCATCCACCTACTAGATTTTGCAATTCTAGTTGACTCAAGATTCCTCCATAAAATCTCCTCTAGATTAGAAATTATAAGAGACCTGCAATCAACCAAGTTGATTGCCAAAGTTTCACAAGTTATAGACCTTAGAAGATCACACAATAAACTCATAGAAGATTCCCAATGAATGTCGAATAGCTACCAAGCTCTTTGATGGTCTTGATTATTTCTTTTTCAAGCTTGGTGGCATGTAAGCTAATTATAAATGGCTTGTCAAGTGGTATTGAGTTTTATTCTAGCTGTGGAAGAGCTGGATTGATGTTGTATCTTGATGCAGAAAATCTCTTATCTTCACTTAGGCTCATGAAGGTTTTCCTTTTGATACTGGTTCTCTTTCTTCTCTCTTCTCTATCTTGCTTCTACGCACTTTCTTGCAGCCTTTATAGACACCATTAGGATTATTGGGTAATAGGTGGCTCTCTCTCTCTCAATGTGAAGTTTTTTTCTTAATTCTTGTCATGCTGTGAAAGGTGCAACATGTTAGCCCGTCTTATATTGAATTTAATCCTCAGATATTCCATTTATAGTTAATCTTCTAATCCTATCCGTTTGATGAGATACACGGATCATTTGACTTATCCTAACTTGCAACAAAAATGAACTAATAAATAATTTCTATTTATGCCCAATAATGTTGTATGATCTTTTTTTCTGAGTCAACTTCTTCCATATTGTAGACATCTCCTTAGACTTGTGCACATTTATTTATAGCTAATTACTTGCGTCAGCCTTCATCCTTCTTCATGTTCATATTAATTTGTTAAATCATCCTATTATTTTAGTCATCATCAAAATCGGTGCAACTCTGAATACCTTTGGTTCATAGCAAATGACACTCCAAGTTCGTTTTATCTCAAGCGTTTCATTTTCCATGGATTAATCAGAGCTCGTTCCCTTCCAAGAAAGATCCCCCCTCCCCTTCCTTTGACTAGTCTCTCGCGGACGCTGCCCACCCCCCCACCCCCACGCATGAGAAATCCATGGTCTCTCTCTCGCTGATATATATATTTATATATTCTCTGTCGGAAGGTCGGTCTGTCTCTCTCTCTCTCTCTCATCCGTCATCTCATCAGGGGGAGGGCGGATCCTCTCTCCTACGAAGCGATCGACGAATTGCCGCCGACCGCGAGGAAGGGAGCGTGCAAAATTCAGCCTCCAAACACCGCAATCGACAAGCTACAGATCTCCCGTCGCGTCCAAAAAGAGCCCCAGAACGAGCTCACATGAACTTTAATTCTCTCTCTCTCTCTCTCTCTCTCTCTCTCTCTCCCTCTTTCTCTCTCTAGATGGGTCCCTCCCTCTCTGCCGAGCTCGTCCTCTCGCCCTTGTATCCATTTTCTCCGGCGTCGGCGTCAGAGGGGGGCGGCACCGCCGTAGGGATTGGCCGGCGGCATATCCTCCAGCTGTCAAGGCATCAATCATCCTGGGCGCGGTCACAGCGCATTGAATGCCCCGGGGGATCGGATCTTTGCCAGCCGCAGGATCTTCGAAGCAAGGAAATTTCGGCGAGATATATATAGATATATATATTATTTTTCTTTTTTGGGGGGAGAAAATTGGAATCATTCCAAACATGCTCTCTCAGACGCAGACTTCGCGCCGATCCAGCGCCATTGATGCCTTCTGATCTGATAATCCACGTTTTTTTCCCATAACATTGATTTCTATGTCCTCAATTTAAGGCGTGTAGAGAGAGCGAGAGAGAGGAGTCAGCCGAGTTCAGTCCAATCTGGACATGGTCGGTCAACGTGGGAGAGAGAGAAATCACCGCTTCCACGAGACAGCCGCCACGCCAGTGCCTCGTCAGCGGCTCTATCGCCCTTGACGAGGTCAGTGTAGCCCAGTTTTCCCCTCCCGACTGCCCGGAAGGCGGCCACGTCATCAATTACTTCCACGATCAGAGAAAAGACCCCCGGTGCCCTTGATATTATCGCTTTTGTTTAGAGAGAGAAAATACTTTTTTTATTCTCTCTCCTGCAATCAGGAGAGAGCTCCTTCTCTCACTTAGTGGGCCCATCACCCTCTCTCTCTCTCTCTCTGCCTAGAATATTTATTTATCTATTTATTTATTTATTGATGGAAGCTTGGAGGAGGCGATGAGTCCTTATTGAGGGAAGCTTGGCCCCTTCGTCCTCGTCCCGGCGGTTGCCCGGTTAGAGAGAGAAACTAGAAAGATAAAGGAAGGGAGGCGAGTTAGAGAGAGAAAGGACGGGAGGGTGTGCCCCCCTTTCTTACGCTTCCTCATCCAATGCTGCCAAAACCACAACACGATCTGCTTCTCCCCCTCTGCTCCCTCCTCTTCGTCGTCGTCTTCGTCCTCTTCCTCTTCCTCCTCCACCAGACTGGCCCTTGACCTGCGCCCACCACCTTCTCCATCGGAGCGCGCATTCCCCCCTCCCTCCTCCCGTTTTCCTCCGCAGGATAGAGACTGCATTTCCGTGGGATCCGCCTACCCCCAGAATCGATCATCCCCAGTCTTCCTTCATCCCCATCCCTCTTCCCGTATTCCTCCCCAGAGCAAGGTCTATCTGTCCTCATAGCTTCATAAGACTCCTCTCTCTCTCTCTCTCTCTCTCTGGGTTTGGGGTTTCTTTTGCTGTAAGGAAGGAGAGAGCAATCCGGGTATCCGGGGAGCCGAGGAGGGAAGATTTCGCTGCTGGCTCTGAGGGAGCGCTCTCAGATGATTCAATCCTCATCATCGCCTTCGGCGGCCGGGGGATCGTGCGCCGACAGCTCCAGGTTTCCGAACCTTAGGGGTGTTCGATGGCGTATGAATCTGGGGATTCTGCCATCGTCTCCGGATGCTTCGATCGAGGACATCAGACGGGTCGCCGCGGACTCCCGTAGGAGGTAAAAACTGGCGTTTATGCCGTGTGCTCTTATTGCTGGGGGCTCGTTTTCCATGCAAGACATGACTATCCCTCACTTGGTATTTTTCTTGTGCGTGGTTATATTGCCGACCTATTCTGTTGCGTTCGAAGTCCAACTTTGGATGGTGGATCTGCACAACAGTTTTAGCATGACTTAATTTTCATTTCCATTTTTCCTGCCGTTTTTACATTCGGTATGATGGGAGAGCTGCCCTGATTTTTCGCCGATGACAGCTGCTCTTATTCCTTTGTAGTCATGATCGTTCATTCTCAAATCTCTTTTTTGGGTGTGAGATTTATGGGGCTTCATATCTCAAACCCTGTTGTTGCGGTTGACGCTTTGAATCATTTTCTTGATTGTTTCCTTGCTCACAAGTCGTTTCAGAAGCCTTGATAGTTTTTATGGTTCGGTTTTCAATGGGTAATCTATACTAAGTGATTCTGTAAGCGACAATCCAAATTTTAGTTTGGATTTTGCACGTAGAAGAACAAGTCAACTTTAGAATTTAAACATGGCAGCTCGTTTCTGCCCGTGGTTTGAAAATTTGGAAAGTTTCAGTTTAAGATCAATCGATTTAGGTCGGAATGGGATACTATAACTGGTCCTAAATAAGATGAGCTAGAACAGATTAGCTGAGACGCGGAGAAATAGGGTCGTTTTAAAAGTCGATTGGCATTCCCGGTTATAAAGGGTGTCAGAACTGGATAAGTGAGTACTAAAAGAAAATAAAAATAAAAGAAAAGAAAATAAATTGATCACCGTTTCTGTTCTTCCTTATGAACCTCAACTTAGTTCCTTTGAAAGGAAGGATGGGGTCGAATTGGGCAAGTGTGGGAGGAGGCAACAAAAAGGCTTGGAAAAATTGGCATTTTTGTGCGAAAAATTGCTATTTTGAGAAATAATATGATGATATATTCCATTATTAATCACGTCAGCTAATACCTTGGGATCTGTTCTGGGTCCACATTAAATGGTTGGACTATTTTTATAAAGAATTATTATACATCGATGGCCCAAATTTCATTTTAGCTACATTCTGAATGTGCAGGTATGCTATCTTAAGGCGTCAGCTTCTAATGGACCCTAATTTCCACAAGGATGGAAATAGGTCTCCGGATCTCGTCATGGACAATCCGCTATCACAAAATCCAGGTATCTTTACCTCATTTTTTGTCTCAATTATTTTATTCAATGGTTTTTAATCACAGTTTTCTCAGAATAATAGCTAAAATCTTGTTATGATGGATTTCATATTACTTGATCGTGTGATTACATTATTTCTTTCTTATTCATCAATCATCAATCATCAATCACATGCCAAAATCGTACAAGGCGCACCAAGTGTATTGAATCTATAACTTTATATCAAACCGATTAGTCACATACCGACTGTTTAAATCAAGTTTGCTTGCAATCTGTTATTTTATGACTGATCATTTGCTCGCATCAAATCCCAGCTCTAGCTTATATATGCTGCCTAATCTTGTTCTGATGGGTTGTTTCCGTTCATTTTCCCCATGCAGACAGCCAGTGGGGGCGTTTTTTCCAGAATGCCGAGCTGGAGAAGCAGGTTGACCAAGATTTGTCACGCTTGTATCCAGAGCAAGGGAGCTACTTCCAAACTCAGCCATGTCAGGCCATGCTTAGGAGGATATTACTGTTATGGTGTCTTCGACATCCAGGATACGGATATAAACAAGGTGACTTTTTCTATGTACCTAAAGCTTGTCAGTCCTCGATGACCGAAGACAATAGCAATTAACATGCTAATCATGTGCTCGTAAAAAGCAATCTGAGCGCCATGGGGTTTATGTTGGAGCTCCATAGCCATTTTTTCATTAAGATTATTATTACTTCCTACCGCCCATTTGAACTTGAGCGGGGGAAGGCTTTGGTTGCTTATATTTATATTCATATTCACCCAAAAACATGGATTTTTCGCTTGACTTTTTAGGCGGACATTCATATGTTCTTCTATTTTTGACATTTTTGCTATGTTACAGGAATGCACGAGTTAATGGCTCCTCTAATCTACGTCCTCTACATCGATGTGCAACAGCTCTCTCAAGTTAGGAGGCTCTATGAAGACCAGTTCAATGACGAGTTCGATGGAAGGTCCTTCTCTGAATCCGAGACCATGTCCAAGTATGGGATCAGAAAGAGCGCGGTCTGGGATGGTGAAACTGGCGAAGATGGTTCTCAGGGAGCTGCAGGAAGGGGTAGCAGCTCGGATGAGCTCGATCCTGAAACAAGGGAAATAATCTTGCTGAACGATGCTTATGGAACAGAAGGAGAACTCGGTATTATCCTCTCAGAGAGATTCATGGAGCACGATGCTTACTGCATGTTCAACGCTTTGATGAACGGGGCCGATGGTGTGGTCGCCATAGCGGACTTCTTCTCTCCTTCTCCTTCTCCTGGATCCAGTTCAGGCCTGAGCCCTGTGATCGAGGCATCCTCTGCACTGTACCACCTGCTTTCGGCTGTGGATTCGCCGCTTCATTGTCACCTCACCGAGCTCGAGGTCGAACCCCAGTACTTTGCTCTCCGATGGCTGCGGGTCCTATTTGGGCGCGAGTTCTCGCTGCAGGATCTCTTGGCCATATGGGACGAGATATTCTCCTCTCCCAACGGGACATCTCATCTGATCGGAGAAGATGAAGCGCAGGTCAACTTCAGGATCTTGTCTTGCCCCCGGGGGGCCTTTATTGTCTCTGTGGCGGTCTCCATGATTCTTCATCTGAGGTCTTCTCTCCTCGCCACCGAGAACACCACCACCTGCCTCCAGAGGCTGCTCAACTTTCCGGAGAACGTGAATCTGAGGAAGCTGATCGACAAGGCGAGGTCTCTGCAGGATCTGGCGATGGATTTAAACATCTGTTCTCATTTGGAGCCTCCCTTGAATGGTTCAGCCCGCAAGAACTCAGCCCATGTCAGGCGTTACAGCATTTCTTCAGGCTCGGTCTCCCCTGGGACCCCGCACTACCCAGTGCTCGACAGCTACTGGGAGGAGAAGTGGCGGGTGCTCTACAGGTCGGAAGAACAGTCACAGAAGGGGAGCAACAGCGACCAGAAGGGGATTCTGAATGGGACTTCTGGTAGGAGAGGCTTGACCCTCCTGAAGACTCGGTCGGATATCTCCCCATTGAAAGCCATGGCCAGAGAGAACGAAAGCTCCCCGGCAGTCAGACGCAGACTGTTTGGCGACTCTCCTCCGGTGATTGACCTGACGAAGGTGGAAGATGGAGGGCTGACCGATGCATCGAGCACAGAGGACCACCTTCCATCGACCATGGCCAATGCGGAGGAGACGTGCTCAAGCGGGGAGAATTCTGCCTCGTTCTCCACTGCCACGAGCCCCCTAAGCGCACGAGATGGCCATGAAAATGACCCGGAGAAGACCAACTTCACTTCAAGGTCGTCCTCCGGCGATGCGGAGGAGGTGGCCGAACAAGTGGAGAACCTTACGATCTGTGGAGCTTCAGATGGCCCGCCTGTGGTTGCCGTTGATGGGGCGGCGAAGGGAGCAGAAGCTTTGAGGGAGAAGAAGGTGCTGCCGCCCAGTAGATTCCAGTGGTTCTGGAAATTTGGCAGAGGTGGCGGTGAAGGTGCTGCTGCAGAGAATGGAAATGGCGAGGCGGCTGATGTTGGCTCGGGTTCGTCGTCATCTGCTGGTGGCGGTGCTGCGAGCAGGGTGGAAGTCGGGGACAAGAGGATGATGGGCACCTTGAAGAATCTTGGCCAATCCATGCTGGAGAATATTCAGGTGAGATGGCTTCAAACTCTCTCTCTCTCCCGAGATTTAGAATAAATAAATAAACGCAGAAACCTAGCTAATATTGCCGTGGTAAGTAAGCATGTTCCTGGGTCTTCCTAGTGGATCAGTAGGAAGTAGAGTCATCACTTTACTCTCATTTGACTCGGATCGGGTTGACTTTTGGCAGGTGCTGGAGTCGGCCTTCCAGCAAGACCGGGGGGGCCAGGTGGGGTCGCTGGATAACCGGTCAAACAATATCCTCGGGGGGAAAGGTCAGGCGGCGGCCATGGCGGCGCTCAAGGAGCTTCGGAAGATCAGCCAGCTGCTATTCGAGATGTGAGTGTCTTGTACTTCGCCTGTTATTCTTGCCTGTACATAAATTCATTTGTATCTACCATTCTTCCCGACGCCCTTCATAAGTCTCCGGGGGTGTCTGCCCCCATTTTTCCCTCCCTTCCCTTCCCCTCCCCGTATAAATAATCATTAGCTCTCTCTCTCTCTCTCTCTTTCTCTCTCCCCCCCTCTCTCATGACTTGGTCTGCCACCAAGTGCATTCACACACCCTGGAAACAGAGCCCATCGCATTCAAGATCCATGACGCAGCAAATGTGTAGAGAGGGGGAGAGAGAGAGTCCAGAGGGCGAATGAAGAATGCAGATGAACACGAGTGAGAAAAACGATCCACCAGAGGGGATTCAAAGCGGCGCGCGCAAAGCTAGTAGACTCCGGGGACGATCCTGTAGGGCACCCTCTGACAGTACATCTTCCAGTACTTGCCGTACCTGTGTCAAGAAAGCCCATCCGCCATTAGAGATGATCCATCCATCGGTCATGCCACCAAATCAAATCGGCGCAATCCAACCCAGCCCACAATCGCGACCGAGATGATTACGATGGTAACATAGAAAAGAAAAGAAAGCCAGCAATTCTACTGCGGGCGGAGGGGAATTCACAAAGAGGAGAGGAGAGGAGAGGAGAATCGTCGGCATACTTGGTGGAGCATCGATCGTCGTCACGCTTGGCGCGATCCGTGAGCAGAATCGTGAGATAAACCACGTAGAAGTACGGCAGGCACTGCAACCGTTGACCCGGGGATAAGATAGATAAGGAGAGGGCGGCTTCCTCCTCCCATGTGGGGAGAATGGGAGAATGAGACTGGGGCTTACGTGGCTGAAGAGAGCCGGGGCTGTCCAGAAAAAGGAAGCGAGGATCTCCGGCACGTAGTGGAAGTGGCGGGCCAGACCCCACCTGCGGATTTCAGAAGATCAGTGTTTTTTTCACCTTACAAAGGTCCGCTGGCCGGAAGTCAACACTGTCCGAGTCAAACTCACCAGCCGGAAGTCAACAGGAGGCTGGTCTTCGTCTCACCCTTGGTGGTCTGATAAGAGGCCAAAATCTGCAACAAAAGGGCCGTCGTCAGAAATCCCGTCAAGTCAAAGACGGGGCCGTTGACGAAAGCCCCACTTTTTTTTACCTTCGACGGGGTCTTCCCCCAGATGGAGCACCTGCCGTTGGTCTTGCGGAAGTGCTGCCGCTGCCAGTCGCAGTCGTAGTTGATGTATATGCAGAGGAGCCCCGCGGCGAGGATCGACAGAGCAAGCTACGCCATTTTTAGGGTGAGGGTTAGGGTTAGGGTTAGGCCTGAGATACCATGGATTTCGATGAGGAAGAAGATGATGAAGGCTCTTCCTTCCACCCGGGATGGGGGGCATCCCTGAAGAAGTCAAGTAGATTTACTTACGGACAGGCCCAGATTCACGGGGTGGTTGACGAGGTACATCCCGGGGGATGTGTAAACCGAGGGCACCCAGACGAGGCATCCCCAGCAGATGTAGAAGCCAGCTGATCGAGGAGGAGATGGGCACAAAAAATAACGGAGTGATGAGTCCCTCCGACCATCTCAATTGAGAAGCTTCGGAAAACGGACAAAGCCGATGCAAGGACCCGGGAAAGACTTGGTCGTCTTCCTGAGCACCCAAACGGCTTTATCCCATAATCAGTTAATTCAGGGACTTGTGTAAAAACATCAAGGAAATGTAATTTTTTTTTTTTTCAGAACTGAGAAAGTTGATCGAATATCATGAACATAATTATTATTATTATTATTATTTTCTGCTTACCTCTGTCATGGGCAATGTCCATTGTGTTCCAGTATCCGGATTCCCACCAAAAGAACTTGGAGACATAAACAAGCATCAATATCGTGTTGACAAGCATGGAGTCACTGACATGGCCGATTTCTTCGTACTGCAATAATGCGCAAGAAGGTTAGAGAAAAACAGCCAGATGCGTTCTACCCAATTATGAACTGGGGAAGCCACAGACTTCGATGGATAGGGAAAAAAATAAAACATTTCTTTGAAAGATTCGGTTTTGCATTCTTGGGACAAGAATATTGTTCTGGAATCAAAATCCAAGATGAGATCTAAAATAATGATATCTGATCGTCTGAGAGGCGATACATTTTCTTTGAAGGTGGTTCGGTTTTGCATTCTGATAGCTCAAATAAAAAAAACATTCTTGGGACAAGAATATTGTTCTGGAATCAAAATCCAAGATGAGATCTAAAACCTCCAAGAGCACCGCTTTACTGGATGAGACCCGGTGGACCATTACGCGAGGAAAACGAAGATAGATCCTTCCTACGAAGTAGATTAATGCGCTAACCTGTTTGATGCAATAGGTCAAGGACAGAACAGCCCATGACATCATGCCAAACCGACAATTTGTGAAGACTTTAATATCAAAGCTTTTACCAATTCTCGGATAAAGTTCCATTCCCTGCAGCCATAGTAAAGTAATATAAATTGAAGATACAAACACAGGCGAAAAATAGAATTAATCACGCGTCCTTGTAACCGTCTTAAAACCCATCGGATGATTGGAATGATAGAAGGCAGTAGTTAAAAAATTAGAAAATCCTCATCCTCGAGTTCATGGGATGATGCTGCTAAGAATACTTTCTGCAGATAAACGGAATTACTTTCTCCTATGAATATCTCTGAATGTTGGAAATACTTTCTGCCTAATTATTTATGTGCGCTTCCAAAAAAAATATGCTTCTTCAGGATATTTGAATCTGCTTCAATAAAATCTCATCCGTACCCATCTGAGACATTCTTGTAGGAGTGCTTATTGGTACCCTTTTTCTATTATAAAGGATATTATCTTTTTATCACTTACTGTATCCTTTTTTTCGTTTTTACCAGAAATATGATCAAATATGCTCCTTTTTTGTTGCAGATAGGACGTCAGATTTGCATGTAGAATGCCAAAATCAAGTTTTAATAAACCTACTGGGTCCAGAACTGTCTCATAAATTCTAATAATCAAGAAGATCATAAGTTGTAAATAGTAAGTTTTCAATAGGAGAGACAGTGGCAACTCACCAAATGTAGGCTTTGATTTTAAACTTAAAGGGATCTGTTATAGAGCTGTTCAACTAGTTAAGAAATGTGGCGCCCTGTGCTGTTGTAAGTCATCACAATTTTCACTGCTATTAATTCCATTTTGTGGATTTCTGAACCACCTTTTTTAGAGTAAGTAGATAAGACATTGATTTTGAATATGAATTTTGGTTTAATGAGTTAATAGAAAAATTTCGAATTACTGCGCTGAGCATAATATACCCTGTGGTAACTTGCTAGATTCCCCATAAGGAAAATCACAAAAAATGACATCAACTTCAACCTGGATTAATGATACCATGTTAGTGATCCCAAAATGGTGCAAAAAGCAACAGCATTTAAGAGTTTACTGAAAAAACTTACGTGAAGATTGTGATGGAAATAAACAAACCAACGAATGATATTAAACGTCATGACATGAAATAGTACATTTGTAATCTTACCCAATAGAAATCTATGATTAGATTCCCTGATGATCCAGAGTCCGTAGAAGAAGGTACCAAGTAACCCTGAAGAGAAAGCAATCAAGAATCCAAAGTTAAAACGTGGTAAAATCAACAAACCAATGAAATGTGGCTAGTTGTTTGCTCTTACTTTTATGTGCAATAAAATGCAGAAAACAAAGCTCCCCACAATCAGTGCTGAATAGATTTCTCCCAAATGGTCATATACAATAGCAGGATTAAATATTCCGAACCTGAATGTAATATTGGTATGTCAAAAATATGAAGTCAACAATAAAAAATACAAATTTTCAGCAGAAGAAAGTACATTTAAAGATGAAACAAATTGCAGAAAATGACAAGAAGATTCTTAGAACAGAACGTTGGCAGCATAATCATAATGTTAAGGTTAGAAAGATATATCTTGGTTGATGTTATTAATGTCCAACTGCCATGGTTTCAAGAGGATATCAACCAGAGCAGGGAACCATCTAAAACAAATCAGAATTCTCTAGAGTATGGTAAAAATAGTTTTTTAAGTTTATGTTTTTTACAGATGGTGAGAACTTATTAGTAACTTATACAGATTGTTTTGCACAAAAGCTTACATCTAATGTTTAAGAACAATATTTTTTTTCCCCAAATGCAAGTGTAAGCCTATAATGATAAAAACAGAAGGAAAAAACAAAAATAATATCAGGGACAGCGCATGTCGTGGTCGGGGATTTCATAGTCATGATACCCACAACTGTTTGCATCGTTGTTGGATCCTCTTATCCATGTTATTCACGGTCACAAGCACCAATGCTTCTCTGCATTAATCCTACTCGTAGGTACCAATATTAAATCGGACTATATTTTCCAAAATCTTATTTACTTTCCTATATTTCAATCATTTCATGCAGCCACACAATGTTCACAAGCCCTGATTTTATGATGAGACTGTTGCGCCACCTGTATGGAAATAAGCTATGTCAAAGAAACTACGGTGTGGTCTTTTGTCCCTCTCCCAGATGGGAATGAGGATAACGATTTCGAGATGAGAGGGTCAAAATACAGGGTCAGACTTGAATCTATAAAACCTAGCTCTTTGTTCATGGCACATGGATGCCATGTCATTGACTGCGACGCTTCTTCTTAGGAACTGAGCTCAGTTATCTGCAACTGTGCGCATAAATCCTCTTCGTTTCTACTCAAAAAGGGTTATCAGGAGGTTTATCCATTGAAAACTAACGTTTTGCTAGTTCTACCTCATTACCTTTGAAATTTCAAATATCAAATCGGATCAATATTGAGTTTGATTTGAGTAATAGGTCATACTAATATGGATCCCGATCGCATTTACAGATAAAATGACTATTATATTTCTCTGAATACGTCCAGTGATCGTACACTGGTTCTCTACGTAGATAACATGACATTACAGGGATCATGCTTTAATCATTGCTCATCTTAAGCCACAGTCTAGACGTAAACCTTCAATTCATTGTACCAAGTCAACTGTAAGTTACGAACATGCCTAGCAGACAGGACATCAACTTTTGTGGCAATTTTTCTACAGCAAAAGTCAGATGGCTCAGCAACTGAATCAAGGATTACTGATGCAGAATCTACTACTGGATCAAGCCCATGCTTTACGAGTATCTCTCAAACATGCTCCACTTGTAAAATTGGGAACCCAAAATTGTACAAAAGGATACGAAATACATTACGCTGGATAGATAATATCAAAGAAATAGCACAAGATCCATTTGCCACAAGACAAAAAAGGAAATCTGTAACTTGATACACAGGAAAAGAAGTTACCACCACAGGCTCAGATAAGTTACCAATGTCACTACATATGCTTGCATTCCATTTGCCTGCAAAAAATAAAGAAATGATTTTTTTAGCAGTAATATGAATGGACTATATCTCGTCATGCAACTAGAAGTTAAGCGCAGGAATTGACGAATTGATGGAAATAAATTATATTGAGATAAAGATAACTTGAAAACACATCTTTAGAAATGGCAAGGCAGTTGTTTCATCTAAATCCTCTTTTGGTTACTTTATTATGCGGAAGTCGTACTAATAACCCAATAAATATGCACGTCTAAAATTCTAGGGACATCTACATACCATTCTCATATATTTTCAAGTCAAAAGTTTGCTACTGTACTTCACGTTTGCACTATGTCACTGATACGCTTCCAATTGACTTCGAAGTTTTACATGATTACGAACCAAAGTTAAGATTTTTATGCAGATAGCAGTTGCTATAAAAATATCTACAAAAAATTTGACAGTTGGCTCGTACAATGTCACCTAAACTATTCGGTAGACATGATCGAGTAGGCAGTAGGCTAAAATGATGAACTTTTCAATGCATTAAGTTTGCCCAGTTAAATAGTTGCCGTACACCGTACAACATAAATAGTATACCAAGAACAAATCTACACTAATATACTACGACACAAAATGCATTCAGTCGATAAAGGTATTCGGCATTCCAGCTTTTAAACCCAGAATAGAGAATGTTTAATCATGAAATTAGATCCTGTAACAACATCATTCATATAGTTGAGGTTCAAGTAAATTTATTGGCCTGGAATTTCAGATGTTACCTTTCAATTGCATAACAACATAGACGCTTTAAAATTTCACATACAGTTCATAATGATCATGTCAAGGGGAAACAATGAAAACCTTGTAGACAGGAATGTTCCCATTTGGAGAAATTGGGCCCTCGACCCTTTTCCCAGGAAGTGCCAATTGAAGCACAGCTTCAAAAAAACCATAAGAGAAGATAATTTTCCAGGCGGTAAGAGATGGCAATGGCCAAATAGTTTTGAGACCCTGAAATCCATGCTGCTTGAAGTACTCCCATGACAATGCAATAGACCCATCAGCATGTACCATTGTGTACCATCTGCAGTAAAACGACATGAGCATCAAGGTGGCATGGAAAGAGATGAAGTGAAACAGAAACAATAAGAGGAGAATGCCATCAACTGTCCCCACTTTTGTCAGAAGCAATGGATAACAAGTGACGGATTGGCCGAGATTTGAAAGAAAAAATAACAAGCAAAAGGAAGTGTGCAGTGATAACAATGTTTGCTTCAATTGGTATTCTGATTTAGTCATTTACCGGGCGTTCCAATGGATAGGTTGCTGAAAGAGACGCCTCCCCATGAGGTATGAAAAACGACAGATCGTGAAAGAAGGGCAACCAGGGGAGTGCAAGTATTTTCACAGGAATGAAGACCCAGAACGTGGAAAAATCATCCACCCTGATAACCATAAACTAATGTGGAAAACCACAATAAATAATTTTTTATGCCTACAATTTTGTGCATCGGCTGATAACATGGTTTTTTAATTTTCTTTTTCCTTTTTTGGGGGACGGGGGAGATAAGCTAGAATAGTTTTCTCCAATTTAACACAGATAGGAACGAAATCGAAACAAGAGATCAGCAGTCGATTACTCGAAGGCAACTGAGTTTACATTAAACTCGGACATAAGCAATCTTCCATCGTTCCGAACTGGCTAGGGCAAAGAGTAAGAAGGACAATAAATAAGGAAAATAAGGAGCGGAAGCTTCATATATGTCATCTTTCCACATCGAGGCCTTTGTATTACTCACACAAAACCACCAGATCCATCGGTTTCTTTCACTCGATTAACAAACTAATAGCTTATCTCATACGTCCAGGCTGCGTCGAAATGAGATTATCCGGTTGTCGCGATACTTCCAATACCACTGTCGGAGAGGTGCTTAAATTCAAAAAGCAAGCAAGAAAAGCTCGTGGTCCGGTGGATTCCTGGGAGAGGAGACGTAGTGCGAATACAGACACCAGGGGACGTGGTACTTACAGCAGGATGACGAATGGCGGGCAGAGTGTGAGCAGCGAAATCATGGAAGCGAGGGTGACGACCATCGAGTGGACGGTGCTCTTCTCCGCCGTCCCCATGCCTACCCTCTCTTTTCCTCCTCGTTCCTTATCTTCTCCAATTCCCCCTTCAGCGCAGAGAAGCAGCTCTGCCCTCCGCTATGCTCCCCGAGCCGCCGTCCCCCGCTGCGACGGAGAGGGACTGAGCAGTGATCCTAGCGGCGCCGCTGAGTATCAAAGAAATCCGTCTCGTAGCATTACGGGGGGCAGATGTGATCTGATACTTGTTTTAAAATAAGTCCCTAGACATATAAATAAACACATAAAAACGTCTATTGGTCCCTATTTGTGAATAAACTGCAAGACATTCGCAGAACAAGGATTAGAGTACTGAAGATCCTCTGATTAGCCAGCTCCCACCGCCAGTCCATAACTCGTTTGGACTATTTGCTGTTTCCCCCCTCTCGACGTAATATCGCGTCAAACATACTCACACCGCACGTGCATTCTCCCCCTCGGTAGAAGATAATATTATTTTTATACTTCTCTTCGATGGCGTGGGGAGCGTGAGATGATATTTATATGAAAAATAATTTCCCATTGGATATTTTTAAATATTCAAATTTATATCAAAATCATTTATTTTCCGCACCTCTTTTGAGATATTCAAAGACGACATGACAAAGAAATATACAGGATTTCACCATGGCGAGAAAATATATCAGATTCTTGTCTTCGTCGTTGACCATGCCGCAACTCCTGGATTATTGGAATCCTTGCAAGCAAGCAAATAATCATGTAAAATCTTTTAGCGCGAGGAATAAATCTCAAAAGGATGATATTTCACTGTTTTCATGAACAATTTTTCCGAATATTAACGGATCCGAGAGGCGGAATTTCTTCTGCCCATCCGGCAGAAGAAATTTGGTAGATCCAGCAATCGACTTCATCGAGGAGGTCCAGCATCGACGTGAAGATTATGATTCTGTTGCGCCGTTCTTCCGCGGATAAGAGGATTTGGGATCAGCTTTCCTGGAGAATAAGACGCGAAGGGCCCGGGAAAAAGATCAGGGGCTGAAGCGTACTGCGCAGAATAACAATCTGAATTCCGCCTTCTGGAAACTGTGTACGCCGATGATCTAATAATGGATTATTTGCACAGCTATGACACACGAAAAACCCTAATGGAACTCTGTCCCTTCAACCAGACACCACAGAGAAAGAAACTCTGAGAAGCGGACATCGAGATGAGATCCACAGAACGCCTCAAACCGCACGAATAAACAATCTCAGCCTTGTAGATAAGACGGGACGCGGCACGGAGGCCATAAGCACAACCCTAACCCTAACCCTAACACCAGCAACAGCACGAACCTCCGCTTAGGCGACGGAAATAGGCTGCTGCTTGGGGGGCTCCATGCCCTTCTCCTTCTCCTTCTCAGGGGCGTCGGCGAAGTCCTCCTGGTTGTAGATGACGGTTATGTAGAGGGAGCAGCTAGGGCACCGGGCAATCTCCTCCCCGGCGCGGAGCTCCTCTCGCGTGATCTGGAAGATATCCCCACAGGGGCACGCGTACGTGAACGCCTGCAGCTCCTCGTTCCACTCCATGTCCTCGATCTCCACATCGTCGTACGACATCGCTCCTCTCCTTTCCTCTCTCCCCAGCCGACGCCGGCGAGCACTGCGGCTAAACCCACAGAGACCAGAAGAGCGCGGAACAGCGTGAAGAAAAGAAACTTTCAGCGCCAAGACCCCGCAGTCGTAGCCGGTGAGGGGTCTCTTATTAGGGTTGGGAAGGAGGAGGCCCGATAATCGCGGCGTTGATTCCTTTAGATCGGACGGTGGAGATTGTATTCGACCCCATTTTCTCAGCACCAGACTGTCTAATTTTAATTAATTTAAAATTAAAAAAGAGATAATTCGGGGGATACCGATAGGCCACCAATCTAATTTACATATGCTAGGAGGGGGGAGAGGGTGAAGTCCTAATTGTGAGGGGGTTAAAGGGGGCCAGGGGGAATTAGGGTATGAGAGAGAGAGATAACCCTCTAAAAAGATTATCACCAATGTATTTACAAAGCAAAAACATAAGATTCGAGAGTTTGGAGAAGGAATCATAATCAATCAGGTTGAATTACAAAGGTTGCTAAAGATAGAGAAGAGCATAGTGAATTTAAATCAAGATTTAGCACAGATTTTGAAGAGAATGAAATAGATGTAATATACCTTGCAAATTCTATTGATGATATTTTTATTGATGATTGAATGATCATAGAGGCTTAATTATTGACTAGTGCTTTGTAGGAAAATCATAATTCAATTAAATAAAAAATATGAGTTTTGTCTGTAGTAAAATTCAAACCCTTGTCAATCATGCACTTATATAAGAGAGAGTTAAATAAGTATGTGAACACTTTTGCCAAGTACATCATAAGAGTGTATCATTTTTCTTATTTCGGAGTATTTTAGATATAAAAATATTAAAAATAAATGACAATGAATGGTGACCCAGATTTAGTCTCATATTGACTATTTTTTGATGTTTGAGACACATATGTCTCTACTTGTGTTAATATCAATGTATTCTCTCTCAAGTATGTACGACCACTCCTTGCCTCATGAATGGGTGATATGGAAGGAGTGTGATGCACACATGCCCCCACTCGATCCTTCGACTCAAGCCCCCTTACTTATTGCTCTATTCAATTGTGCTTCTAACCTATTTGTGGAGATGGTTGGGCAGCAGGTCCCCCCCTTTTTATATTTTTTATTTTATTTCTCTTTATTTTATCTCAAAAAATATAATTTAAAAAATTATATAAATTCGCATAAGTTATATAATTAGCTAAGAAATCACATTAACTAACTAAAAACTTTTTTCTTAATTTAATATAAATATCAATCATGTTATGATGAATTAAAGCTTTAAATATATTATTAATTAATTATTAACTTATGATAAAGAAGACTTATCAAGTAATAACCATATAAATGTAAGCCCTAATAGTAGTAAAATATTATTTACCCCTTCAACTAGGTAGCATCAATATTATGCTTGATAGTGGTTGAGGAAGCTAGGGACAATGGAGATCAATTGGGAGCAACTTGCTATGAGATTTATCTTGGGTAACTCACTGTAGACCTTGAAGGAAGATCTTAGTTTGTGCGAATTAATTTTTTTCTTGAAGAGATTAACTCGAGAGCTGCACCAAGTTCAAGAAGTGATGATCGAATTATCACATGAAGGCAAAAGAAGAGGCTAGAATTATAGAAGTGCCACCAATATTAGTTTTAAGAATCATGGATAAATACCTTGTAGTCTTCAATGAGGCCATAGAGCCACCACCAATTCATGACATTGAGCAAATAATCTACTTAGAACTAAGAACCAAACTGATAACAGTTTGGCCATATTATTACCCACATTACCAAAAGAATGAAATCGATAAATTAATACAAGAGATGTGCATCATGCACTATCCAACCATCCGATAGTCCATATTTTAGTCCAATGTTACCAGTGAAAAAAAAAGAGAATTAGAAATTTTACATCGATTATTAGGCACTTGATATGGTTACAATTTTAGACAAGTTCCTTATTCTTACGATAGATGAAATAATCAAAGAATTACATGGGCTACAATATTTTTCAAATTAGATTTAAAGTTTGGTTATGATCAGATACGAATGAGAATCGAAGATATTCCCAAGACAACACTTCGGACACATGAAAGGCATTATAAATTTCCAGTGATGCCTTTCAGCCTCACCAATCCACTAGCCACATTTCAATCCCTAATGAATTGAGTATTTTGAAATTATCTTAGAAAATTTATACTAGTATTCTTCAATGATATATTAGTCTATATCATGGATGAGAAGACACATAAACTACACTTAAATCATGTGTTGTCTTTGTTACAGCACAACCTACATATCAACGCTAAGAAATATATATTTAGAAAATCAAGCATTGAGTATTTGTGAATTAGTAACACGTGTAGATACAAACAAAGGCAAGATTGACATCATGTAATAATGGGCCAGCCCAACTAATCTTCGTGAGTTAAGAGGATTGTTGGGCCTCATAAGTTATATCAGAGCTTTCTTGCAAGGTATGGATCAGTTTCCTAGCCACTAACCTAGCTCTTGAAGAAAGACTCATGAATGAGGAAGCCGAGAGGGCATTCCAAGAACTTGAGGCTATTATAAATTATGTACCTATCTTAGTATTACCAAATTTCTTGCAGCCATTTAAAGTCGAGACTAATGCCTTTGGTTATGGATTAAGGGCAATACTTGTGCAATACAAAAGACCAATCACCTACTTCAATTGAGTGTTGTCATTGAAGAATCAATTAAAATCGGCTTATGAGATAGATAGAGCTAATGGCAACATTACTTATTAGGGTAACATTTTGTGTTATATACAGACATGCACTGGCTTAAATATCTACTAGAGCAACATCAAATTCAACCCCCAATTAAACACAAGACATGATAGGAGAATAGGGGTTGCCTATGCACTCTCTTGAATCCTTGAACATGTGCTAAAGTAAGCGACGCTAATTGTTAGCCCCCAATTAATAGATATTCAGAAGATCTCAGCAAAGGTGCAGGCAGATACAAAACTAGTTGGAACCATATGAGAAGCGGAACAAGGGTCCCCTAAATTCTGATGCTATGCAACAAGGTGTGATGGTATACAAGGACAAATTGGTGTTATTTCGGAATTCAAAACTCATCCCCTTGATCTTGAAGAAATATAACAATAATGTAGCCAAAAATCTTTATTATAAGGGTATGAAGCAAAGCATCCAAAAATTTGTAGAGGAATGTGTAGTGTGCCAACATAACAGGACTTCTCCAACCTCTACCCGTTGTAGATTTAATTTGAGAGGAGATCACAATGGATTCTATAGACAAAACTACTGAGGTCCGGGGGATACAAGTCAATATTAGTGATTGTCAACTGCTTAAATAAGTATGCACATTTTCTCTCCTTGAAGCATCACTAGATAGCTTAGGAAATTGCAAGGACCTTCATCCATGAGGTGGTCCAATTAAGCAGAATTTCCAAGTCCATAGTGATGGATAGAGACAGGGTGTCTCTCAACAAGATCTAGTCAAAACTCTTTAAACTCCAAGGGACAAGCCTCAAGTGTAACACTACTTATCATCTACAAACGAATGAGCAAAACAAAGGTTATCAAACATCGCTTGGAAACATATTTGCATTGTTTCTCTTCAGACAAACTTAAGAATTAGAGTGTATGACTACTATCGAGAGAATACTAGTAAAATACAACTTTCTACTTCTCGACAAACACAACACTTTTTAAGGTGGTCTATGGAGAGACCCTCCAACAATACTACGTTTCAGCACTCAGCAAACACATGTTACCACAGTGGGAAGCAACTATAGGAACATAATGAAATCCTTAATCAACTTAAACAACAACTGATGATAACTCAATTCAAGATGAAAGCGCGGTTACACAACCAGCATCGAGAGGTACGATGTATAGTGGAAGACAGTATACCTCAAGTTGAGGCCCTGTAGATTGCAGTCCTTAGCTCACAAGACCAACAAGAAACTCTCCTTGATATTTTAGTCCCTATCAAATGGTTGAAAAGGTTGGAGCTGCCGCATACAGGCTAGAGCTATTGGCAACTGCAGTTAATCCATACAATGTTTCATGTGTCACGATTACAGAAGGCATTAGGGCCTAAGGATCGCAACCAACCTTTTCCAAAAATATTAGACTCGGAGCTCAACTAGATAGTCAGGCCACAATCAGTATTAGACAAGCGTCACTCTACTAAAGGATTGGAAATACTTATTCAATGGGAAGATCTACCTTTATTTGAAGCCACTTGGGAGTCTTTGACAACAATTCATTGCCAATTCCATGACTTTCACCTTGAGGACAAAGCTGAATCTTTCAAGAGGAAGTACTGATAGGCCACCAATCCAATGTGTAGGGTTCCATCTCGGATCCCTCTCGAAATGTAGGTAGATCTCGAAAGGGGTGCAAGGGGAATTAGGGTATGTGGGAGAGAGAAAACCCTCTCGAACGGTTATCACCAATGTTTTCATCTCGGGTCCCTTCCTTGTTTTCTTGATTTTCTTGTCCTCTTATCTTGTTGAATTCCATTCAACTACTTCTTGATCTTCATTTGGTGTTGGAGTCCTATCAGACAATCTAGAGAGATTGTCTCTCCTGCATGGAAATAAATAGCATTTTGCAGGAGTTGGGCAATCTAGAGAGATTAATAAATACCATCGAGATTGAGAAAATAGAGGCATTACTTCGTCCTTCAATAATTTTGCAGGGAATGTGACACAAAAAAAGCCAGAAAAGAAATTCCCGTGGGATTTTTCGCAAGTATTGGAGTTCGGGTGATATGATGGAGACTCTCCCTCTGTGCTTCCGGGCTTCTTAAAAAAATGAGCCACTTATTAAAGAGAAACTTAGTTCATTACATAATTTCTCCGATGGTGAAGGAGATTACCATAACAGAAGAAGGTACGAGACCACAGTTTCCTAGATATCTACAGGCCTCCGAACGCGTTGGGGGCGCAGCACCAGTATATACAATCCTGCAAACCATATAATAAATTTCAATCAGCCATGAAATAAATAGAGCAGAGAGGAAGATAGTCCAGCGGATCCATGGCGGGATCTGACAGAACATCACACCTCCTCAAACGAGATGGAATAAAGCGGGGTAAAATCTGAGCTCACCCTCCATCCCATCATCAATGAATAATACATCTTACGAGTCTTCATCTTCCGATTGGACGATGGTTTCTTTAAGATTCTTGTCGACAGAATCTGGAGATACATCTGCATCCAGTGAAGGAATCACTTAATTATCCATTAATAGAATCGAGAAGACGGTAAAAGAGGAGAAAAAAATCGCGAGGCGAGATACAAGCTATGATTCTAAGTTACACATCCATTAGGGAAGTCAAACTTTTAAAAAATATTTGTTCTCAGATATAAAGCAAGGATTTTTCGAGCAACACTCCCCATTTCTGGATCAATTTATGAGAGGTTCAGGAATGAATGGGGGTAAAAGATGACAATAGATTAGAGGTGCACATTTGGGAAGAAAACTTTCGGTTATTCCATCTTATAGGCCGATTAATGCCAATTAACCTATCAAAATTCAATAAAAAGTGGTAAGTCTCGTTGAATGAACTTTCATAAACATTGCAAAAATGCCAAAGACTTCCTTCACAGGGAAAGCTGAAAATTGGAAGGTTTCTGAATTATTCCATTCTACAGACCAATTAATGACAATTCAACCATCAAACTCTTCTCCGAGGTATCAAGTTTCGTTGTACGGAAGTTCATACATATTTCCAAAATGATGCAAAGGGTCGAATATTCCACTCTACAGATCGAAAGGTTTCTTCATTATTCCACTCTACAGATCAGTTAATGCCAATTGAACCGTTAAATTTCAGTTCTACACATCAAGTTTCTCCATATGAAGTTTCATGCACATTCCAAAGGTGGAGCAAAGGCTTCACCGGGTCAGCTAATAAATCGAGAGGTCTGCCGTTTCTCAGACCAATGAATGACAACTGAAGCATCAAACCTTGCTCCCAGAAATCAAATTGCCGTCTCGAGTTTCAAACATATTTCGAAAATGGTTTCAAACAATTCATTGGGTCAACTATAAATCGATAACTTTTTCTTTCTCCAACAATTTATAGAACGTTTTTGACAGCCTATGACTGCGCTATATTTCTTCCACATAAAGGGATGAAGCTTTCTTGGATTCCTAGAAATAGATCAGAGGGACAAATATGGATAAGGTGATGCAGAAAAGCTATTGTCTGAACGAGGCAGTCAAGAAATTTTTGCCGAGTTTCTGAAAAACGGCGGAGGAGAATTTTTTGTATCGAATCAGGTTCTGGCTGGACTTTCAAGGCACAGTCGCTCGCAGGATATTGTTCTAATCTGCTGAAACTCCAGAGGGCAATAAGCATTTGATCCAGAGATACGCTTAACAATTATCTAGCATAATAAATGGAATTCAAGGCCCCCACGAAATGGCACCGGTTCAGGGAAAAAGGAAGAAGAAGAAGAAGGATTCACGAAAGTAATAAATCGGAAACGCGCACCTCACCAACAGAGCCGCGATTCAGGCCACTGGCAGGTTAATTGAAAGCAATGACCAATACTAGCAAGAAGTCTCACCACCCTTGAGGTGCGCGGGGCATGGCCAACCTCGGACAGACCTCAGCGACATGAAATCCTCCTCCGTCATGGGACTCGACACCCTCCCTAGCAGCTCCACCAAGCCGTGCGACCTCTTCCGCGGCGGGACCCAGTAGGACGACCCCGGAAGGAATGGCAGCCAGTCCGGCGCCGCCCGCCGCACGACAATCCCGTAGATCACGTCCTCCAAACGCCGGGCTGCCCTACCCCCCCTGGCCGCCGCAGATCCTGCGGCGCCGCCGCCACCATCATCCGTCTCGAGCTCCACCTCGAAGATCTCGGCAATCTTCTCGGAGCGGTCGGATCGGCCGCGAAGGTTGAGCAGGCGGGAGGACGGCGCGACGGAGCGGATGTGGAAGAGAGGGTGGCGCTCCCTCACCAGGACCTGCGACTCCCCCACCAGGGCTCGCGAGAGGATCCGCGCCATCGGAACTGCCCCTGCGCAAGAGAACCGCAGCCGGAGGGGACAAGGGGAAGAGGAGAGAGAGAGAGAGAGAGAGAGAGGCGGTAGTTGGGCGGAGGAGGATGAGGGTGGCGTGCGGGAGAGGAGAGGACACGATTTAAATACGAGGGGGGGGGGGATCGGATAATTCGCCGCGGTAACTACAGATGGCGTTGACCGGGGAAGACGGACGGGAAGAAAGAGGGAATCAGCTTTAGTTCCCGCAAGTGGCCCAAGAACATCTCCGAATTTCCAAACAAGACCGATTTCCCTCCTTTTCGATCGTTGAATTATACAATAAGAATGGTTCTTTGAGTTGAGTGGAATGCTGCACAAGGTATCCGGCCCACTTTCAGGGGGCTCTTCTTTACAAGGGAAGGAAGGGCACACCGCCGCCCGCAGCTCAGAGCAAGCTCGGGACGCCCTGAGGAGGAGGGGGAGCAGCGCGGGGGAAGCTGAAGAAGGGATCGCCGAAGGGATTCGTCGGAGCCGCCATCCCCGGCGGCGAGAACTGAGGCTGGTACGCGAAGTGGTGCTGCGGCGCTATTGTCGGCGTGGTCCCCGCCATCTGCGTCTGCATCTGCTGCTGGTGCTGGTGCTGATGGGGGCCCATCAACGCCATCTGGACGTTGGCCTGCGGGGGGAAAGCGTAGGACGCGGCGAAGGGATTGGGGCCGGCCGGCACGGCGGTGACGTAGCCTCCGCCGCTCCGCTGCTGCCGTGCCGCCGCGTCGTCGTACAATCTGTCGAGCAAGAGCTTGTCGAATCCGCCGGCCTGGGAACAAGATCGCAACCCTCAGCCGTCAGAGGAGAGAGAGGGAGAGAGAGAGAGAGAGAGAGAGAGAGCATGTTACCAGCTTGGTTTCAGTGAAGTGGCTGTCGTTGCTGGTCGGAGCAGAGACCAATGTGAGCTCCCATCCTGAAACTCCAGCGTCAAATCCGCCAGCCACAGTGGGTGGTTTGCCATCTCCCCCTTCAAGGAGCAGAAGAAGAAGAAGATGTTTGGATTAAGAGAGAATACTAGATGTTTGGATTCACTGAAGAACTGCCATTGTCGACTGTTCAGAAGGTCAGGGAGGGGGAACGTACCAGGGGAAATGACGGCCAGAGCCAGAGCGTTGCTTTCCGCGAGCTCGGCCGTCACAGGATTCATTTCACCCAGACCCTGCATAGATTAAGAGAGATCATCTCCTCGATTTTGGCGCCTGCTTGACGAGAAATTGCCAAAAAAATTGGCAGGAACCAACCCACCAGCAAATCTCCCGTAGCTGCAGACGGCGGTCTTCTGCCCGCGACGTCATCTGTTTGTTCCGGAGGTTCTTCAGTCTCCTGTGGCTTCTTCTCGGGCCCCTCCACAGGCGCGAGCTCCTTATCAGCAGGAGATTCCCTCTGCCTGTAAGTGAGAAGTAGGTTTCTCCCTGGATATTCCTGGTTTTGGCAAGAACTATGAGAGCATGGAATTTCATACAATCTGACGGAAGAACTTCTTCCATGGCTATACAAACCTTCCGATATTACACTTTCCGAATTCACAATGCGAAAATCAAGTTCGAGAAGTGTAAATAGCATTGATATAGACACAAAGACCATGGAACATCAAGAATTCCTTCCTTATCGCAAGAACTCAGCATTGATCAGCTGTTAAATCGTATCAGGCAGGCTTGGACTTGGGGAAAGGCCTAGTTTGGATAATATTAGATTCAAATATGGTTTTAGAAAGCACTGAGGGAACGATTGCCGCGCCATGTTAGAACATTCAATGGGGTCCAAGGAAGAACCCATGAGGAGGCGATTTACTGGATTAAACTCGGGATTTACTCGACTATGTACACTTCATGATAGGAACACGATGATAAAATGTATTTAGTCACATAGACAAAAACTGTATAAACGTGGAGAATATAATATTTATTTGAGAGGTTACCATGGCTTAGGAGAGCATAGATCATGGCTTTTGAAGCCATCTCACAAAACAAAAGGGAAAGGTTCTTATAATATTTATGTACCATGTACACAATCTTCTTTTTAGATGAATAGGACAATCCCCCGTTCTCACTAGGTAAGGGCCAAAAAACATGGCAACTTGAATCCACTTCCCACCATTTCAAGATCTGAGTTGGCTTGAACTTATGATATTTTGCTAACCAGGTTAGGCCCAGGCTTGGCTTACCATGCATAGAACTAAGTTTTAATCTCTTGGATCGATATCAAACTGACTGTTTTCTGTCGATGAAAAGTTTTGAATGACACAGTTTACCGGATTATGTGACATTCACACGCATTTTACAGTCGAAAAAGTTCAACATATTGACGCTACAGTTGAGCGTTCTCTTCCCTAATGAACTCGGCAGTATAGAACAGCTACATCTGACTGCAGGATCACGAAAATCCATTAACGCTGACAATCCAAGACTCAGAGTAGTACGATATCCAATGAATGGAGAGAACCGAAATCTCTGGAGCATGCAATAATATTTAAGGAAAAGGAAAAGTGCAGCAAACTGACTGATAAATATAATGTTTTTGTCTATTCATTGAAACTCACAAAACTGAGGGATCAAATCAAAGAAGGTATTGGGTTGCTTGCGAACTTAAACATGGTCTAATTGCTCGTAAATAATCTCAAGTTTACTAACCATCGTCCTGCTGGAAACAGACACTATTTGAGGAGCTTCTTTTATGTATTCCTCCATGGTTGTAAGAAATGATGGAGGCGGCTGCCAGAAGAACAGGGAGAAAGAACAAAAAGAGGGCCAGGAAATATCAATGAACAGCAAGGACAAATGCCAAGAATTAGAATATAATGCAAAGGCACATGGGCAACCAAAAAATAAATGAACGACTACTAAACCACATGCAACCCCGACTGAACAAACACCAAATTCATATCACTACATTTTGAACGAAGGTAAGGAGGGAACCTGTCTCAAGGTGGGGAACTGAAAATTCCTAGAAAGCTCCAAGCCTTTGCAAAATTCATAAAACTCTGAAAGACTTTCAGCCTAGTGAATGAAATACAGAAGCAGAGTGAGTGCAAAGGACAGAAATAACAAGTATCATACAATTCTTCAACGATTTCTGAATTCTTAATAATATATCAGTATGATTAATCGCAGAACCTGCTGGCCAGCCCTTTTATAAATATTGAAGGCTCTGATGGCGTCATGCTTTGACATCTCAAAGAACTGCAAGTAGTAAAAAAAATGCTGATTGGAGAAGAATATCTTGATATGCATATAATTTGACAAGTCAACGTGTCAAAACCACAATACCATATCCACAAGGTTGATAATTCCATCATTGATTGCACAATAGATTTTAAAACTCTCTTTCAAAACCTGTACAACATTTAAAACGGACAACATCGCATTAGACATTTGAAAAAAGGGTTCAGAAGAGTCAATTTGATTTTGTGCCAATTTTCTTTCAGAAGAGTCTTTGGCATAATCTACAGGTAGCAAATAAATCAACAGAGGAAATAAAAATTTTAGAGCTACCATAAAATGATGATGCGAAGATGAGAACTGAGCACATACAGACATACTGGTGTAAGGTCCTGGCAACGGGAATGATTCTATGAATATTAAAGTAGAGATATAATTCTCAAGAAACTAAAGAATCCTCTTATTTGAAAAACTCCTTAAAATTAATCTGGTACCTCTCTGATCAATAATTCTATTTATAGTAGCTCCAATCAACAACGGCATTTTGCAGAGGTATTTAAGACGCAAAAAATATATTCACTTTGAATGTATCGATGGATGATTTCATAAATAGAAGTTTCATGGTCGAAATTGAAAAAGTCATATACAATAAATGGTAGGTAAAGAAGTAAGGTGGAACATACCAACGCTAATGCATATTGTATGAGATAGTTTCTGAATGCTGCTACTTCAGGCTACAAAACAGTTAAAGATATGGGGCTGAGAAAGTATTCCAATCTTCAAGGAGAATAAAATCTATGATCTTGTACTACCTGACAACCAACAAGGCGGAATAGGAGCTGCTGTAAAGCAGGCAACTGCTCCAGCAGTTCATCACAAGCCAACTCTCTCATCCTACTATGACTCTGGGAAGAAAACAAAACAGAAGGAAAGGATTCAAGAAATAATATTATATCAGGGCGGGTGCACAGTTCGCCTGACAAAATTTTATAAGCACAGTGTACCTTTGCAGCCCCAAGTTGAGATTTCACCAATCGCTCAGCTTCAACATCAAATTTCAAAATCCGCAAACATTCAAGTCGTTCCTCTAGGAAGAGGGCATATGTTCGAACCCATGCAGAACATTCCCACGCTGCAGGAAGTAAAATGCCACTGTATGAGAAAGATAAGCCCACCTCAATACCCCAAATACTGTGAAATCGTGAGCTGGAAAATGGTGAATTTTGGACGCATAATCCACGTAAGAGAAAAAGTACCAAGAGGGGATGAATCATCCGTGAAATTTGATATGTGAAAAACATGCCCTCGGTGAGCATAATTCAGCAGCTCTTCCCTAAAAGTATGACCGCCCTCCCTCAAGGTCCTGTGAATAACTATAAGCGTCTTTAATGCGACCTGTAAAACCCAGCAATCATGTGTCAAGCTGACACAATGTGACAGATATAATCGAACTTCTCTTTCTCAGTTAGGAGGAAAACATAGATAACTGACATGAGGGAGAATGTCTTAACGTGCACAACAATAGAAAAAACAACTTTAGACCAAGAAAAATAAAAATGCTTCAGAACATGATACACGGTTCAGTCCAAGGAGGAGATTCATTCATGGTATCACTTTTTTCTGAGTTTCATGATGAAAAATTACCATTTGCTCGACACCAATCGATAACCATTCTGATGACTATAAAATCGATAGGCAGGATTACACGCAAGTAGTACATTTTGACGAACAACATGGGGAAACATAACACACCGTCCAGTTATGGGTCTTGGCCAATCGCCTCGCAAGCTTGTAGATACAGTAAACCACATCAGCTCGCGGTCGGACTTCAGATGTTGCAACAAATACTTCTGAAACGAGGGACAGAATTAGAATGAGGAACCAATGAAGATTAAAGAACCATTCAAATGTGAGACAGCTTAGATCTATGGTCAAGCGAAGGCCCAGATAAAAAGAATAAATGTACTGATCGGATTTGACCAAAATGCCCCAAAATATGAAGCGAAAAGGCACGTTTTCCTTAAAGTGGTCGCGTACGATCCCAACTTTCAGATATAATATTTTTCCGGAGACAGACAAGAAAAGGGAGGATTCCAGGTTCAAGAAGGCACTCACTTCTGACATGGCGCTCCTTTGGAGGGCGCTCAGCGTGGCTGGTAGCCTTCACAATGGCAACATCGATATCCTACCGGAAACAAAGAGGAAGATACAACAAAACAGATCAAAACCTTCGGCCCAGTAATCGAAGCGAATTCATAGCAGTGGCAACGATCAGAGCGCGTGGTAAAGACGATTAAAAATGTAGGGAGAGAGAGAGAGATAGTAACCTTAAACTCGCTATTGATCTTGGCAAGGCCGATCTTTGTGGAATCCTTGAGTGCGCCGTAGGCCTTGCGCCAGGTCTGCATCGTCCCCACCACCACACTGCAGTGTAACCGCCCTTAAAGTTTCGCACCAGTCTCAGACTGAAGGGGAAGAAAGCAAGACGGAGAAGACACCGGCGGGAAGGGAAGAGCAGAGAAGGAGATGGAGGGATTGAACTTTCTTCCTCCCTTCTCCGATCCCAGCGCCTCTCTTCCTCCTCCCAACAACCGCCGGGAGGCCGCTCCCGCTCCAAGGGAATAATCCTCAATAAAAAAAAACCTTTCGAATTTCCTTGAACTGAAATCACTTTGGGGAACGTCAGAAATTGGGCTCCACACGTGGCCCCTCTTTTGGGGACGTTAGGGCCCTCGATTCACCGACAGGTCAGCCACGATTGGTCCACCTGGCGACGCGTCCACCTCCTCCAGAAGCTAATTTTCAACGGTCCAGATCTGATCTCCGAATCCAAATAGTAAAAGAGAGTATTCTCCATTAAAGCGCTGCCCCCTCCCCCCCTCTCTGTCTCTCTCTCTCTCTCTCTCTCTCTCTCTCTCCCTCTCTCTTTCTCTCTCTCTGTCGCTTACCCCCTCTGGGGGGTCAGAAGTTAACTTAATAGGAAAGGCCTGAGCTGGGCTCAATGGGCCCGGGCCCATGCCAGCTCCACCTTTTTTCAACCTGGATATTAAAATAAATATAGAAAATCAAAAATATCCAATAATTTCCGAAACTCGCTTTCATCACACCACGCGCTGCAGTCGACACCAAAAATATACATTATAATCGAATAAATTCCCATGGGCCCAAGAGACAGGCGGTGGGCGCGATCCCCCAACACACTGACACGCACTTTCAAGACACCAACCTGGTTGCCACCAGAACAGTAGGCTGAATGTGTGAAGCTCACTGGTTCTGGCCCACCGTTTGCAGCTTTCTCTGACCCTGCAACTCGGGCTGTGAGTCAAAATCGATCAGAATATTGGGTTCATTTCATTTCATCATGATCACTGTCATCAACTGAAACCCAGATCGCCGGAATTGAGGGAAAGACCCAGTTTTTTTTTTTTTTTTTTTTCTCTTCTGGCGGAGATGCTGTGAGCCTTGCTGAATCCAGTCTCCTGCATGGCTGCTCCCAGCGATCTGGTGAGAGAAGGAATGGCTGATCTGGGAATGCTGTCTGGTTCAGATGCTGGGTCAGGACTCGAGCTCATTGGGATTTCCATGGGTTTGATCCTTTAACCAGAGCCATAGAGAGAAGCAAGTCTTCTGGCCCACAGATTCTCCTCGGGTTGCCAAGAGATGGAGTGCCCGGACATGGCACACCACCTGAGGTTCAGTAGGGCGACAGCAAGGTGCTCGTTGACTTCCTCAAAGATGTTGATCATCCATGACTCGACGTCTGGGTCCTCGCTGTGAACGAGGTCCTCAAAGGAGGCCCGCCTCTCACGGAGGACGGCTTCATCTTGTGAGATCATACGCAGACTCAACACCTGCAATGCTTCCATCGCAGAGTTGTGGAAATCGTGCCTTATATATGCGGAGAAGACATAGTTGCAGGTTGCTGGGTCAGGCTGGATCTTCTGTCGATGCATCCTCTCAATGATCATCTCGATTATGTCGATACGGCCCTGAAATTATTTTCCCAACATCATGGTCAAGCCCAGATGGCTTTCAGCATCATAAAATGCCAATCAGCTCGGCGCATATTTAGGGGATAATACCTTCCTATCTGCTTCCAAGAGGACCGTGTTATATAAAAGAACATCCAGCTCAATCCCTTCAGAAGTTGATTGCTCAAGGAGATCTAATGCTCCATCGAAGTCTTCATCTGACAACAGAATCTAAGAAAGAAAAAAAAGGAGATTTAAATTCTCTAAATCAAACAAATATTTGAACAACTAATCCGAGTCATACTGATCAAAGATGTGATTACAATATTCACAGGGCATGCCCTCATCAGTAGCAAAAGGGTTCTGGGCACGAAATCCAGCAGGTGAAAGATGGATGATCAGCGAAGGGGACAAGACCAGAAAAAGGGAGAAAAGAGGTCACCGTAGATTACATTCAATTATTTTCAATCTGTATATAAGATTTATGCGGGTAAAGCTCCCTTTTTTTCTGAGCAATATGCTCTTGTGGTGACGGCAGAAAGGGCTAGTGGACGAGATGACAAGGGGCCATTGGTGAGTTCCAAAGCTCTACCTTTATAAGCGCAGTGTAAGTGACGGCCTGTGGAAAGTAGCCACTACGCAGCATCATAGACACCAGAGCGCAGGCAGACTTGAAAGAGCCCAGTATGCTGCAGCAGTTGACCATAATGTTGTAGGTGGTGGAATCAGGAGGAAAATCACCATCTTTCATTTCCCGAAAAACCTCAACAGCCATGCGACCCTGAATTTGGAAAAATATGCCAAAAATAAAATAAAATAATTAGTCAGATACTTATTTCCATCATAGAAAATATGGGACTATTCTAAAATGCTGCAGCTCACCTCCCTAGCGTCTACCAGGGAATGCAAGACATTATTGTACATGACCGTCCGCGAGTATGATTTTGGGTGTAGGAACAGGGTCTCCGCCAGATGAAAATACTGGAGCATCTCCGTTATCATGCCTTCGTTTCCAAGTGCCCTTATCTGAAACCACATCAATAAAAAAAATGTGCCCTTTCTTTGAGAAATACAGACCGTGCTTCTGCAATCTGTGGAGCATATTGATAATAGAGAGAGATAAATTCGTGAAACATACCATTTCTTTGAAGGAAGGGAACACAGACTAAAAACAAGTTGGACAAGAACGGAGTTGGTTTAGATGGACAAGAACTTATATCATGCTCTTCCTGGATAAATTGTTGCTTTATCACGTTATTTTTTGTATTATTATTATTTCGGTCTTTATGGGTGTCGCTTTACTGTACAGGACTCATTCCATACATTCGAAGCATCAAAGATATCAATGGAGCTGAGATTTTCTGTCTCCCTTTACTGTAAAAACTGCCCTGCTTTGCAGAATCAGCTGATTCCTCTTTCGATTGATTGATTCAAATTAAAAAATGAGGAGGATCATCTAAGATCAGGTTTTTGTGATGATTTCTTTGAAAAAAAAAAAATCTGCCAAAATAGGATTTACTCTTGAATTCTATGGGGATTTTTCTATTTCTATCGTGTTGACACCAGGATTGGACACTACTAAATTGATCCTCCATCATCACCACAATCATTCCTTGGCAACGGGGTTTTTCTGCAATCTTCTCTTTCCCCATTGATTCACTCTCGTTGATACGTTGAACCACGAATAAAGAGAGTTGAATCTACAAATATGCAATCAGAGGGAAAATTTACAGATTTCTCTCTGATGACGTCGAGGGCAGTTTGCAAAATACCTTACAAAAACTAAGAGCTGAGTTCTTGACATGACGAGTCTTAGTGACTACTGGGAATGGCATTAAATAGAGAAAGTTACTGCTGTTTATCATTGCCCGTCAAGTGCACTGGGAACTCAGAAAAGGAAAATTTCATCTCACACATAATTTCGTGACATTTTCAGGCAAAGTATTTTCTAGATGAGACAAAAGAGAAAAAAACACGAATCAATATCAAAACTTGATAATCACACATGAATTATTACATCCTTGAGTCCACCACAGAATACTTCCAAGTAAAAACTTTTTATTTATAAAGAATGATCTAAATGAAGAACATACCAAAATTTCTAAAGATACAAAGCTGTGCTGAACGCCATTTCTAATCATATCAGCCTCTAAGATCTCTATTCTTTTTTTGACTTCCGCACGGGAAAAAATGTTCCCCTCCTCGTAGGGAGCATTGACATTTCCAAACAACTGAAACAACAGCTCAAATGTCCTGATGTTTGGTCTCATATTTAGTTGCTTCATTTTAGCCAATATGCCAATTGCACGTTCAGGTTGGTCCTGCATCATACATCAACCAAAGTAGGCATAATATTATCATTAAATTTAAGATTCCAAAGACAAAAGGTTCATTGACAACACCAGAGTACTAAAAATAAGGATGAAAGCGTCTCCCCACTACTAAACTCAAATGGCTGAAATGCAAGGCAACAAATTCAATAAAATTTTCAACACATTAATATGTCAGAGCTGCCAAGAGAACAACTCCTTACCCTGACCTAAAATATAACCACGCTCAGGGAATCTCCATCAACCATCCATACTATCTTTGACAAGTTCTAGGATGTCAATGGTATTTAAATTGCTTTCTGGAGCATCAGAAATATTGCTGAAGTTCATCACCATTAACACCCACATCTATGATTGGCGTCACAATTCAACTTGGGATTGATGATCAACAAAATTTTCTGGGTATAGAGACCGGTTTAGTCTGCTATACTAAGGTGCAGACTATCTAACCTAATAAACTCAGAAAATATAAATGGAATGTGAAGAACACTGAAAGCAGTAAATCAGTAGTAATTTATTCGTTCAGCATGGTACTATAATTATAATTTCGACGATGTTATTTGAAACTCTCAATAATTATTGGCCTACTTTCACTGTTATAACCTCATGGCCACATAGGAGAAAAAAAATCTCTACTCAGGTATGCTGCTTCCAACCGTATTGTAGGTCACAAGGTGACGGAACAAAATAATAGAAAGAGTTATTGAAAAATGGATATTAATTCAACGTAACTGACCATGACATTGCAAGCTGAAAGAAAGGCATTGAATGGATGGATATACTTCGGCGAGCTATCAAGAATTTGTCCCAAAAGGGACTCTGCTCTATCCAATTCCAAAATTTCGCTGTAAGCTATTGAGAGGGTGGATATTGTAGTATAATTTGGCTTCAGGTTCCTTTTCTCCATTTCATTGACCTGGAAAAAGTATGAAAACATAAGAGAAAGATTGTCTCTATAAAGTTGTGCACCAAGAATATAAACATTTACTTAAATATGCAGAGTTTATAAGGTCACATAGGTACCGCTAGAGATGAAAAGAAAAGAAAAAATGAAGCATTCTGTTGATAGACATGAAAGTTCTAAGCTAGCTTTTTCTTCCTAAGGCATTTTCTTCCTTTTCTTGGAAATGTAAGGGCAATGCGAAAATTGAAAACTCCAAATAATATGGAATCCAAGCCGTTTCAAAAGGAAAAAAAACATATTTCAGAATTTTCCTTTATTTGAGAAAGAATCTTGCAACTGATCAGCTGTGAGGAAACAAGCAACTAAACTGGATACTCGTTAGATGAGAATGATTCAAAAAAATCATGCAGACATACCACTCGCATAGCATACGCAACCCCTTTCTCCAAAATAACAGCCCTCACAAACCCATCAAATGTGTGAGGTGATGGCTCCAGTCCAAGGTCGTGCATCTAGACACATCATTAACACGGTAAAACATTAGTGTAAAAAGAAAACGATGACGATAGATATTAACACAATGAAAAAGTAAATGACACCGCAAGGCATGGAAAAGAAGCAGACAGATAAAAAAAGGCAGTAAACACTACCTCATTTTCTTATACGTCTTCTTTCTATGCCTTCTAGTAAGAAAATGGCAAAGAAAGAACATTTCTTCATAACCTTCTGGGTTTCTCAGACATTAATAAATGAACAATGATCAATCAACTTGTTGACGGATGATTTCATGCATTCTTAGAGAAGGTTTTTATTCTTATTAGTAGTGTAAGCATCCAGTGGTGGTGGGTAATTTTAATCTCATGATATTGCCTTCTGTTACAATTGATTCAATGAATCGAGATGAACTAATAACTTCAAACCTTACATGAATTACAATCGGAATGCCCTTTTTTTATGATTATTACCATTCGCACATCTATTTCGTAGGATATCCATCAAGAAGTTAGTTCTTTCTTCATAGCAAACATAACAGTCAAGTTAAACAAAATATGAGAAACTAACAGCATGTGAATATTGAAACAAAGAAAATCTGACAAATTGAGAGAAATATAAATGAAAACACGAAGAAGGTACAATATTGTAATCATGGTAAATGAAACAATACACTATGAAAGGTCAAAAAACTTGCATTCTAATCCTACCTGAAGGAATAGCTGCTCGGCCATATTATATTCTCTACATTGTGCGCAGGCATGGATCAGATCATTGAAGGACCATCTTAGAACCTTCCTTAATTCCGTAGATAAAGTATTTTTCTTCACATCAATCCTCGTGCATTTTTCTACCATTATTTCCTCGTCAAAAGCAGATAGGCTATTTATCACAGTGTTCCCATGTCCTGCTGCATCAAAGGATGAAGTGGAAAGAAAAGGATGTACGTGGGAGGAAGCTTTCTCAGAAGCACCGAAAGTTACGTCTCCAGGTATTCCGTGGGAGACACGGCCTGTTGCCTTGGAAATCTGGGCATTATCTTCTACTGTGTGTGGTGTTTTGTTTTCCAAATCTGAGTTCCACACAGAAGCTTCCTTGATAGCATCTAGTCTGCCAATCTCTGGTGATGAAAGGTCAATCATTTTCTTGTCTAATACACTACTATGGAAATCAATGATTACGGGTATGGGAATATCCACCCTTGAAGATCGAATTTTTTTTTCACCGGATACTTTTAAGCAATCACCCCCATGTACACCTGTGGATACCATATGTTGCAAGAGAGAGTATGCAGCTCGAAAGTCGCCAAGCTTTGTAAAAGACCAAATGAACTTTCTCAGAGATATAATGCTTGGGTTGTAGTACTTCCTGAGATCTCTCCAAATTTCATAGACGACAGGTAGATTTCCCTGCCAAACTGCAACCTGAAAGTTTTGGGTAGCTATTCAGAAATAAATAACCAATGATGGAAATAAACGAATGGAGCGACATTTAATAGCTCATAAATCATGTGTCAATTAGCTGAGAAAAAAAGTATTATGAAAGATGTAATGAGATTGGAGATGCAAGTTGAGTAAAAGGACAAACTGATGTATGATAAAAGAGATCAAAGAAGAATCAAAACATTGAGGCCAAATACAATTTTTCATCACTGATAACAACGGGAGGTGAGGGTAGAGAAGGTCCTGTGTGAAGTCACTTGCCTGCAAACTGCATCATCTTTTCACATAGAATGTTTCAAAGACGGATATCAGACCACAAACCTTTATTTACAACCATTGGCAGTAAAAGAATAGGAATCATATCAGTCAGGAAAAAATAGAGGGCAGCAACATAACGGTAGAGAATAAACGGTCATTGAATCTTTTTTTTCCTTTTTGAAATGGTTAGTAGTCCATTTTGGGTGCAAGACTGCTGGAGGCATTCCCAGACTTCTTTCTATCGTAGAGCATAAAGGAGGGGTACTGTAAGTGATCAAGGGGTCGTAACTCATATCACAGGAGGAAAATTTGCACAGAGTTCCACCACTATTAATGGGTAGCTTCGAGACATTTTATGGGCACAGGCAGCTCAGGCCACACTATCTATTGACCATAATTGATGGAAGTTACTGCCGCATTCAAAAGAGAGAAGGCCAAGAAGGCAAGATCAGTAGGTCAAACCATGCTAGAATCACGGTAAAAACTCTGCAAACAAACATAATTTTAATGATTTTGTCCTGCGTACCTTAAGCAACTCCCAATATGTTATTTCAGATTTCCCAATAAGTTGTTCATCCATCACCTTCAAGCAATTATTAGCATTGGCCAAGTTTTGTGACTTCATACATCCATTCAGAAAAATGTTGTATAATGGCAGATCAGGATGCATAAAATCATTTTCTCCAAAAAAAGTAAGCTGTTTGAGTGCCTGAAGAAAGAATTCATAGCAAACCTAGTGAGAATAAACAAAATAAAGTGCAGATCAAAGCGAGTACAACTAAGATCAATAAATAGCCAATGGACAAGATCTTCATCTCTTGAACCCAAAATACAACTTAGTTTATAAATCCTTTGTCATAGAAAGAAGAATATTTGAGTCAAATGAATATTTTCGTCATCACTTAAATCTTACAAATCATGGCGCTGAATCTCATTTTATATGGAAAAAAAACTCAGCGGAAAAAACAGGTTAATGTGAAGAGGAGTTCCAAGAAAAAAAGTCAAAAATATAACGAGAAATGAAACATGTAGAGTTAAATTGTGATGTAAGCTTCTGCTCTAAACGTGAAACCCGAAAAAGAGTGTCACAGATATTGCAGTATCAAAATACTGTAGCTATCCGTTCAATAAAGGATTCGACCAAGCAGCAACGCTATTTTTATTATTATATAACACAACGAACAATGTAAACGAAATAATACATTTGTTTATCCATCTGTCAAACTATAACCAATTCAATATGTATTTCAGAGTCCTAATGTTCATATTCTTGTGAATATTCACAGAAACATTGGTTGAATAGAAATCAATTAAAAAAAAGGATGACGTACTCCAGTAACAGTAACAAAAAACCGAAGATAGAACATACTTACCATAGTTGAATTCTTAACTAGGTGGAACTTTTTTCAGACGTACCATAGTTGAAATGTAACGCTACAGAATCTAGTTCAGAACAAAGCTGGTTCCACCTTTCCCAATTCTATCCTATTAAAATCCAGCCCTACTCTTATCATTTAATTAGGAACTAAGAGAAGCCAGCATACCCATCTAATTTCCAAGCCAGAAAGTTTAATTGGCTAGTTAGAAATATTTTTATTTTCAAGATACAACCTTTCTTAGTAGTAAATTCAAGATAAAAGAACAAACAAGCAAACACTGCTTTCGTTTTTCACTAGTCTGCAATAAAATAAAATTAAGAAACTATATGACAAAAAAGACCTCTTGATATACCTCCTTGAGATAACCTCCTTTACTAAGAGCTTGGACAATGAAGGACCAATACTTTTTGTTTATGTGCACTGATTTCTCATTCATAATTTTCCATGTCTCCAAAGCAAACTGCATAGAAAGAAAAGTTTATGTCGGAGTACAGATCAACAACCATTATCTCTGGTAAGAATTTTGCACACGGAATATTTTCCAGAGTACAACAGTCTGATCAAAAGTCCAAAGAAGACAAAAATGCTCTATTCTGGTGGGTTACACTGAAGCTTTTATTATACTTACTAGTGGATCAGGTGCTCTTGCGCAATAGTCAAGAATGCAGACAAAATCTTCACCTTGAAAAGGGCTAGCACGACGTCCAAAACTCAAAAGCATTTTTGATGCTTTATCCTTATCGCCCAAATGAAGTGCATTAACTATTTGCATTTGCAGATGCTTCTCTGACAACTGTCCTTCATAAAGCAAATTATTGAGACCTACAGATTATGGAAGATACGTTGGAAGCAATCATCCAGATAGTTGAGAAAAATGAAGCTTTATAAAGCACAAAAAAAATTCGAAAAACCTGAAAGGAACTGAGAAAGTATTTCTTGAAACTTAGGCAGACCATTCTACGTGTATTGTTACACAAGTTAAAGCATTATGAAAATATGAGCTATGGATAAAACACAGTATAAATATAAATCACCAAGACATCGATCAATATTATGAAGCTGCAAGATATGGGTTCAGTCAAGCTCACAGGTTTGTTCTTATCGTTGACTCGTTATCCTTCTTGCCATTTCTAGGCAAGAAGGAAGATCTGCATAGTAATGTTTTCAGCTCATACCCTAACAAGTAGACAGTTCCACTAATAGAAACAAAGCAAAAAAAGAGACCAGAAGCCAATGAAAAAAAGAAACACAGCTTGAATCTAGAAAAGAGAATGAGCAAAAATTAATACGCGGAAAAAATGGGTTCCAGACATCCTTGAAAAAAAATACTGTAAATAAAAACTACTAAAAGAAAGGATCTCCTAAAACAACAATCAAAGCAGCTAAAAATGAAGGATCATCACTCGGTATTACTTTCTGGCCCTCCACATCTCCCCCTTTTGGCCTTCATTTTGTAAATCATCTTTACTTTCTTCCAATACTATACATTGGAAAGTCCTGTGACGAAAAGAAAACCCACTGATTTTTTGTATCAATTTCTTTTAAATTACCTAACTGATAGTTACTTATCTAAACATCTAGTTCGAAGGCAAAGGCGAAATGACAGCCCATTTGAGGGATACCACTCAAAGAATGATGATACGTGCCTAATAAAAATTTTATACTTAAAATTGTTATGAAGATTGTTAAATAATCCTTCCTCTCATATTTATAGATTGAAAATAATAACACGATTTGACTCCATCAGACCATAAAAAAGGACTAACGATCTGTACTATCCAACTCAATTTATTGTGTTATTGAGTAACAAAATGTATAGGGATTAGTCAAGTTAGACAAAGCACATCAGGATCAGGATAGAAAAGTCAAAAGTGAATTAGGCCCTCTAACAGAGGTAAAAAATAGGAATAGGAGAGAATGAGGCAACACATCACAAAAGTTTGTATCTACAACCAGAGACAATTAGAGTCGTGTCTTGCATATCGGGTCCTTGCTTAAATGGTAGAGAGAATTCCCCAACCCTCATCTATGTTGAATGAAAACCCATTCAAAAATTGTTATTGTAAAGGTGAGACACCTAAACCTCTTCCATTCACTCAGGCTACAGCCCACATTTGGTCCCTCCTTAAGTCTCCATTTTTCCAGCTTTTTTGGTGGTACATCTCCTCTCTCATCTACAAAAAGTGGCATATCCTACTCTCCCTCCTCTCCTCACACCCCCAAAAAAAGTATGTTCAATTCTTATTTTAGTTCAGCCAAGATGGCAGTGATCTTAAATATGAAAATGTCACCATGAAAAATGTGATAAATGCCTTAAGTGAAACATTGAATAAGTGAACGATTATCTGAGGAATAGACCCACACGTGCAACTCGCACGAATCAAATTATTACACCACTTCCTAAATCTTAAAGCCACTACCCTTGACAGAGATATTCAAATACCATCATGGTCTTCATGAGACATCATCTCTTTTTTCAATTTCTTGTGAATGGAGTTCTCTCTTCTATCTCATTCCTTTCTTCTGTTCCCATACATGGATTTTCTGCCAACAAACGCTACTAGGATTTGAGGTAAAAATTACGTCTCTTTAAATATTCAAAAACAGATTGTCTTTCTTAGTCTTCCTTGTCTAATGAGAACCCCAATTCAACTTCCATCCTTCCTAGTTTTTGACGTTAGGAAGTGGATTCAATTACCATCCAGTTTTTCACTTTAAAATGAGTCAAAAGTACCACACCACTGATTACCAGGCTTACATTACGAACCCAGAAATGAATGATTAGTATCAAATATCCATCCCAATAATAACAGTGCCTCATTCACAAACACTGCACTCTACCATAAAAAATGTGATACCTGGAGAGAACGTCGTGAAGCTTCTCATGAGCACATTCTCTTCCACCTCATGCCTAGGAATCTGAAATGAAATCACAGTAAAATTAGCACTTCAGGATCGGGAAAGACAACAAAACCCAACATCAGAACACATATTGCTAGGAAAGGAACACAGTGTGCAGCACATACTCCCTCTTGTCCTTTGGCCACAGAGCCAGATCCCAATTTCAGCGGCCGCCGGAGGGCAGCCGCTCTAGACCTGAAATTGGGAAAGGCAAAGGAAGAATATATAAGTCACGATCTGTTGGTTGCTCATAAGAAGGATGCAACAGTTACTAGGCTACACTGATCTGTTCTGTGGATATGATACTCACAAGTATTTGTAAATCATCACTCCAGCAAAGAGATGTTAGTCGAGGCGACTGATAGCACCAGTCGTCACAACTGACTGCACTCTGTCACACCTAGTCATACAAAAGTGAAGCACAATCATGACAATGCCTATTAAGGTAACATACCACCATTAGATAACCATATGGTCATCCAAAAAAATCATAGCACGGAGAGCATCAAGCATATAATAAAAACAGCTTAGCTCACAAAATTTATCATGATATCATGAACTAAAACGTCCTGATCACCTAAAACATTACAAAGAAGTAGAAGTGAAAGAACATTTCTCATCACCAATGAAATACTCAAAACAAAAAAAATCCTCCAATAGAAATCTTGGCAGCACCACCAAACATCTTAAATTTGATTTTCACCATATGAATTGTCAAGGTATTGACGAGTCTCTGGACCTAATAAGAGATCCTCATCATTCCAAACACAAATATAAGAAATAATCAATAGTATGACATCATAAGGTAAGCAAGGTACATTTACATTACTAATGATGACGTACTACAATATTTATCAGTTTCAAACATTGTTTAACAGTGATGACATATAGAATCATAAAAATCGAATAGGCACATGTAGAATTTAATCAAACCTTATGGAATCGTCATCACTACACATATCTTGAGATTAGCATTAAAGAATTTTTTATTTTAATTTCATACAAGTAACGAGTTTACACTTGGTCACTTTACCTTTTCAAGGTTGAATAAATATTTCCACCCGTGACATCAAGAAGGCCAAAACATCTTCATCACACCTTAGCTCAGTTAACGTGAGAGCTTGGTTTCTATATCGAAATTAAAGAGACTGCTGTTCACACCTCCGATTCTATTGCACCAAGCTTAACAGGAATTTGCATCCTCTTCCCTACATTATTACACCTACACGCTTCATACAGTAGGGTCCATATGTTTATTCTGGCAGTCTTGTCACATAGTCCAAATCGTTCAACGACATTCTTATTCGTTCTTATTCTCATGTAGTACATAGATTTTCAATCGACTCATCATCTCATGAAAAAATATATAATGAACAAGAAATTTTAAAAAAGGAACTTAATCACAGTTATATTGCACTTGAATTTCCGCTTGCATATAATGCGAATCCCATCATAAAACAAGCATTCAAAGATGATTATTTAAATCCATTGAAGATATCATTAACCTGAAGTTAACATCGAGAGATTATAAACAAAAATAATGTGAAAGAAAACGATCACGTGAAGAGGGCAAATTATTACATCAATCCATTGAAAGAATTATTAACACAATATTAGCACAAAACCAATACATGAAAAAACAGAAATACGACTGGAAAACAATCATGTGAGAAAAGAAAATTGCTATTTCAATCCATTATGAATATAATCAGCAGAAGAGAAACATAAAATTGATATATTTAGAGGCATTAATGTGAGTGGAAAATAAGCGCATGAAACACTTAATTCGTTAATCAGTCTGTGTTATATTTAAGTTGTTGATTATTCTTGATAATCGAAATCTCCGGTGAGAATGGCAGATAACAACCCACCTTTCGGCTAAGTGCTGCCCAAACCTCCGAGACGGAGTCCACTCTCCCCACCTCGGTGGCCTGGGAAAGAATCTACGGACGTCCCGAAGCCATCCCCCCGCAGTCCCAGCCAAACCTCGCAACTCCTTCCATCTCCGATGCAGAAAACAAATGAGGAAGGGCCGGAGGCATACAAGCACGTTGGGATCGCTCGGCGGTGCCGCCACTGCCGCCGTCCGCCCAGTAGGGAGCAAGTGGAAGGGAGACGGGAGAAAAATAGGGTTCGTTTCCTTCCCCTTCCTCCTCTGAACCCCCAGAGAATCTCCCCCACACCAAAGGAACCCACTGCGTCCCGATCGGTCCCGGCCTCCGCCTGAAACAAGTAGCCGTTAAACATCGTCCTCACCCCAAATCCAAGAAAACACCTTGAAACTTTTTCCGTAGAATTAATCTATTGGAGTAATCGTTGTTCTTATATGATCAATTCAATGGTTTTATTTAGACATTAGCAACATTACATCGCAAAGGGTAGCCATATTTTCCTCAAAACATTACGAAATATATATATATATATAAGTTTTTCTTAATCAACCATATTATCCAGGGTCCAAACCCATCTCTACATCTTTCTCATGAACAAACTGGACCCGATAACGCCGTCGATAATGATAATGGGCCTTGTTTGACCTTGGGCCTGGCCTCGGAGATTCTTCAGTCAGAGGTGAGAGGGGGCGGGAGATGCCAAGTGGTTGGAGAAAGTGGGCTTTGGGCTTTGAACTTCCAGGGCGGGAGATGACACGTCCTTATTTTGGGCTGTAGACCGGCCCATGGGATCCTAATAAGCCCACCGATCTTGGCCAAAGCTACGTAGTAAGTCGGAATCATCAGGCAAGGGGTCTACAAATAGGACGACAGCGCCGCAGGACTGTCTCATCCGCACAACCCGCTAGACGCCATACGCACGCGCTCCCCCACGGCACAGGTGCGTATCGCTGACAAAGGGAGAGAGAGAGAGAGAGAGGGATTAGTGTTAGGCAGGCTGGCAGCAGGTGGAAGCAACTGAGAGGCTGGCTGAAGGGACGCAGCAGCTCCTGAATGTGGATGTCTTTACAGGGAGTGGGGGCCCGGCGCCGGCGCCGTCTCCGGCGATCTTCACGGCCGGCGCAGAGCAAACCAACGTAGAAAAAGCGCGACGCCTGTCGGGGGGGAGACGGGCGGGAGTGCATGCAAGCCATGTGCACGTAAAGGAGAAGAGATGTGGTAGCCCTAGCCCCCCTGGTAGAGCCGTGGCCTCCTCTCTCACCCTCCACCACGCAGCAACCTGAAGACTCTAGAGAGAAGAGAAAGAGAGGCGGGAGAGGATCAACCCGACCCGTTGGTGTCACCCTCTTGGGCGGCCGTATTAATGGCAGACCTACCACGTCTCAGCCTCCTCCTCCCCAAGAAGACGACCCTTGTGGAGAATGGAAGGCCCACGAAGAACAGATAGCGAGAGAGGGAGAGAGAGAGAGGACCCGGGGATTACTAACAGGGCCTTTGACCAAATGCCAGGTGACAAGACCCCCAGAGGAGGATACCTTTGACTTTATGGGTCGCAGAGGTGGGGCCGGTTCATGGGGAATGGGAGGCCCGTGACTAGCAGAGGACAAGAGGACCACATTGGCGGTTCGGTTCAGGGAGGCCGACGCCCCCGCAAAGCCGGGCGGCGGCAGTTTTTTTTCAAAGCTGCTTCCTTTTTTTATTGGTGGATAGTCCGTCGGCCCGGGAACCCCGAGCCGGTTTGGACGACCGACTGCCTCCTCCGCATGGTCAAACTGGAGATCGTGAAGTCAAACTTCGAGTCAATTGTGGGGCGACCCACACGTGGCCTGCCGGGCGACCAGCAGTCTCGTCCCAGCGGCCGCGGGGTGACGTAAAGGGGCGGACGTCGTCTTGCCCGAAAATTACGAGAATACCTGACGCGGGGGGAAAACCATGCTATCGGCGAGGAGAGTAGGGCACCGGGCATCTTGTGAATGACGACAAACCTCTCTCTCTCTCTCTCTCTCTCTCTCTCTCTCTCTCTCTCTCTCTCTCTCTCTCTCTCTCGGTAGAACTTCAGTGGAAGTGTTCTTGGGGTATTTGAGAGGGAAAGTAGCGGGCTTTGATCAATAATTTCAATCCCACCGTCCTCCTTCCTCTTCATCACTGGAGCCTTCCTCTTGGGAGAGGCCCAGCAGAATGGTAAGCCCCCCCTGGAGGCTCTGCCAAAGGTTTTATTCACTGCGCCCACAAAGTGCTCTCTCCCACCATGAATCTATCTCCACCTAGAAGGGTTAGTTCTTTCTGTTTCCACTTGTTGACTGGTGTGACGGCAGCATAAGGAGGCCTTTCCTTTCTCTCCGTTTCGGGGAACTGAATTCATACTCATCTTTGTTGCTGCTGTTCTCTCTCTCTCTCTCTCTCTCTCTCTCGCTCGCTCGCTCGCTCTCTCGCCTCTACCTCTCTCTCTTTCTGACGGTTCTCCCTACTCTTCCATGGCCTAGCTTCAGGATACAGTGATGCATAGAAGCCAAGAGATCTCTATAGAGGTTCCGCTAATAGGTTAAACCAGAACGATTCATACCCCAACGGTTTCTCCGGCCCCGGCGGTTTCATACCCAAGTGCCGCCAGGATTTCTTACTAGAAGCCATCAGAATTCCAGAGTTCGGAGGAAGGGAAGCAACAGAAGGCTTCGCCGAGGAGACGCGAAGAGATGGACGTAGAAAGCAAGGAGGAGTCTCTCCCACCCGGGTTCAGGTTCCATCCCACCGACGAAGAGCTCGTCACCTACTACCTAACCCAGAAGTCCTCCGACTCCAGTTTCACCGGGAGAGCAATCGCCGACGTTGATCTCAACAAATGCGAACCGTGGGATCTACCAGGTGCACATTTCCCTGATCACCAGAAATTTCTTCAATCTTCATCAATTGACGCTTCACTCTCTGAAACATATAGTATTGTTACACCTGAGATTACCTGCTCTCTCTCTCTTTCTCTCTCTCTCTCTCTCCCTCTCTCGCTCTCTCTCTATCTCTATCTATCCACACATACACGCCATCAGTAGGAGCATATGATCTCTTTGAGTGAGAACCGGTAGATGAATATCCCCGTAGCGAGCGATTGTTTACATGGGCTTTCTGTTAGATTTAATAGATTGTCGTCTTTAAAGTTGTATCTTGTGAAGTAGTGCTGTTTTGACTGCACTACTTCACAAGACTTCCCCAGTGACAGTCCGCACAACAGGAAAAGAGAGTGCTCAACTGAGAGGTGATTGGAGGGGAGAGAGAGAGAGAGAGAGAAAGAGTAGGTGAAGTCTAGTGTGAGAGACGGAAGTAATTATTCTGGAGACGACCAGCTAAAGTTTGCGTCTTCCACCGCCATGGCCAAAAATAGGAGATATTTGTCGAAAATTATTTCCACTGAATAGCTTGCAAGATTTTGAATACATTTTGGTCAAACAACCCATCTTCACATTAACAAGAGAATAATTTACATAATTATTGGATATTTCAACCACGAAACTGCTTGTTATCGGCGTATAGTTGACGACTACTCGCTGTACTTGTGGGGATGGGCAGGGAAGGCGAGGATGGGGGAGAGGGAATGGTACTTCTTCAGCATGCGCGACAGGAAGTACCCAACTGGCCTCCGGACGAACCGCGCGACGACCGCCGGCTACTGGAAGACGACCGGCAAGGACAAGGAGGTCATTGGCGGCGGCGCCGCCGCCGCTGCCACCGAGCTCGTCGGAATGAAGAAGACCCTCGTCTTCTACAAAGGGAGGGCGCCGCGCGGGGAGAAGACCAACTGGGTCATGCACGAGTACCGCCTCCACTCCAAGCCCGCCTACAAGAATTACAAAGTAAGAAACTACGTAGCATTATTCAACTCTCTCTCTCTCTCATGGACGGTGTTATCTCTCGGCACCAGCAGGAAGAATGGGTGCTCTGCCGAGTCTTCCAGAAGAGCCAGGGGACGAAGAAGCCCCCCCTCAGCCAGCCCCGCTCGAACCCTTACACCCTTGAGTCGGCGGTGCTGCCCACGATCCAGTTCAACCCGTTGCACCGCCACGTCGGCGACGTCGGACGGGGATACGCCGAGCTGGCGGAGCTGACGAGGGCAGCTTTCCGAGGGATCACCGGAATGAACTCCCCCCTACAGCCTCTGCCCAGCAGCATCACCCTATCTAGTCTCACCCCTGCAACTCCCACGTGGCACCCGGCTCCTTACGTACCGCCCTCGCTCCACGTCGGCATCGACACGCACGTGCCAGCCTCGGGCCTGCCGCCCAGCTGCATCCTCCAGACTGACGCGGGAATTCAGCAGGCTGAACCCTACGCGGAGGGCGGCCTCTGGCCTTCTTACTAACCCTCCTCCATGTTTACAGTGGTCCCGTCTGTCCACAAGATCATGTAATGTGATGCCGACGATGGTGTGATGACGTGTGACGATTGATGATGACGATAAATGTAGGCAGTCTGAGACCCAGATGGATATAAAAAAAAATTGTGAAAGGGGGCAGCCAGATAATACTATTCAGATAATAAATACAAAAGTCTGGATTAGAAACTGCCTCGTGAGACCTCAAACTCTGATCTGGGGCTCGAGTAAGTGAAGAGCCAGATGGGCTAGCCAACTCTCTTCTGACAAAAAAAAAAAAAAAAAGGGAAAAAAAGAAGTCATATTTTAGATGAAATAAGGGCAGAATATATTTCTGAGATGATAGTTATCGGAAAAATTACTTTCTTAAATTGAAATAATTAGGCTGCCTGTTTTTTTATTACGAAGGAACAGGGAAATAAGCATTGATACTTCAGCACTAAGGAAGCAAAGAACAACAACAAATCGCAGAAAAACTGAAGAGCAAGACATTCTAATTAAAATAGAATCTGCAGTTAAAAAAAATAACAATAAAAAAAGGAAAATGAGGAAAAATGGATCGACAAATTCAGCTGGTGGGTTCAGTTTTCCTTGGGCAAATTGCTTTCAGACTGCACACGAAGTGCTTTTTCGACCACGTTGCCTCTAGCACATGCCTTTGAACAGCCATCTATTTCGGTCATCATAGAGATCTGACTTAATTTCCTCTGCCCTTCCCAGTCTAATCTCCAAGTTATCATATGGCAAGTATAAGATCGTGATCAGAATCTCGCCGAATAGTGATCTGGGTTTGCTTTGCAAACTATACAACTGTGCGCGATTTATGAGCTGTTCAAATGTGGCTCATTCTCAAATGTTCGATTATTTTAGCCACAGAATCGTAATTGGGTCTGAAAATAAATCTGCAGGCATTCAATAGCTCAGAATGCTAGAGCAGGACCTGCCACACTAACCCCCACCCGGTGATCACTAGGGTTCACCATTGTTTTATCTTTTATCATAGAAAAAAAAATCAAAAACCAATCAGGAGAATCTCTGTTCTACAAATAATCAGCAGCATCCATGAGACAACTATGAGTTTTTCTTTCTGTGGTGCATGATACCGCTATGAATTTAGTGAGAACGAATGGGCAACTTAGAAAAATAATGGAGGTAAGGCGTTGAACCTGTGCCCGAACGACCCTAGAACTCTGCTTGTCAGCGTGCCTGTGCTTGTGCTTACGAGGAGCACGCGTTGAATGTACTTTCTGAGTACTTCTCCTTGGGTTGTTATTACTGTAGAGGACGAGAAGAACACAAAATAACCAGTGAAGGGCACAGACGAAGGGAAAACTTCGTGGTAATACAGAGAATGGTATAGAAATCACTAACCAGAAAACGGCTGCAAGCAGGGAATATGCAAGGAAAATGCCCAGGGCCAAGAAAGCAGAAGCCTACAATCATAGATTATATCATAACTGTTGGAAGTTCCAAGGGGAATACTGTAAATCATTGAGGATATTTGGGGAATATTCTATAGGGTTTTCTTCCCTTTTAAGGGTATGAGAGGTCGATGATAGGTTTCCGCCCTTCATCCCCTCTGTCCTCTGTGACCGAGGAAATTATCCTCAATGTTTGTCTATGTTTCTTAAACATATTTTTTTACAACAATATCATAGCATCATCACTTGAAATAAACAGAAATAGGAACAGGAGATAAAATGACACCAAGAACTAAGAACAAGAACAAGAACAAAAACCTTGAGGGGTGGCTTAAGACATTCAAGGTTATATGTGCATCTCCTCCTTCCCCGTCACTACCAATCTCCCTGCCGCCCTCGCAGGAGACGAACCTCATCCAACTGCAGATTGGCAGGAGTCATCCTTCCTCATCACCACCTCTTCACAGCAATCTAGGGCTGCCTCCAGCACCCCTACATCACGTAGGCGTTAGATCTCCCCAGCCCCTCTTCAGTATCTCCCATTGGCAAACATTTTTGAGAACTTGCAGCCACCATGGTGAGGCCTAAGGATGGAAACAAGTTCCTCCTTGAAATTGAGAGCTTGCAGTCCCTCACATTGATGTGGACAACATCTGATGATCATCTTATGGTGCAACAGTCCTCAAATGTCTTCTGAACCACACGGAGGCTAGTGAAGCAAAGAACCACCTTTGCTTGATCTGACAGTCAGATCAAAAGAGTTTATTCTTGATGGTGCTAGTTAGATCCAAATCTTCATGAAGAAAAAACTGTCTTCAAGATCGGAATCTGCAATGATGGAGTCTCCACTATTATTGGTGGAAGAAAACCGACGGAGAGTATTCCCGTTCTCCACGTCCGACATCATCTCCCATACATTAATGATTTTTGACATCTTGGTGGGTGTTCACTCCTAACATAGCATCTCTTTGATCATCTTTGATCATTCTTTAACATTTAGCACCTTATCATTATCGTTGTCACTCCCCAACATGTCTTCATTGAATTTTTTTTATTTCCTCATTGTCATCACCCAATATATCTTTACTAAATCCTCTTATTTGATCCTTATTATTTTGTTCTTGCATAACTGATGACTTTTTCTGATGAAAGACCTGAGTGTGTTAGAAGTAGAAATGACATGGTAAAGTATGACGTAGCATCAGATAAGTGGTGTCAATCTCTGCTACTAATCTTACCACTATTGCTTAGATCCTTAAAAACTCATCTTCTCTTGTGATATCAATCGCTCCATCTCTGATCATGGGTTGTAAAAGATCAAAACAAGAACAACAAGCCTAGTGGCAGAGTCTGGCACCACTTTCTTGATACCACACCATATCAATACACAACCACGTCTCTCCCAAACTTTTACCACTCTCGGGCCCTTCATTGGGAAAGCCACTAGTTATACAACAACAAAGATGGCAAGGAACAAGCGAGACAATTCGACAAAGAGATGTTGAGCGACGACGACGAGTGAGCAAGGTAATTTGAAGACATTTTGGGGGGCAACAATGATGATGACATCTTGCTGAAGGCTAAGGGATGGTCAAAGATGATCGAAGTAACACTACAATAGGAGCAGACACCAAGATGTCAAAAATCATCACTATATGGGAGATGATGACAGACATGGAGAATTAGATCATTCTCCATTAATTTTCTTCCACCAATGATGACGGAGACTATCATTACAGATTGACCCTAATGATGATTCCTTCTTCAAGAAGGTTTGGATCTAAGTGGCACTATCAAATCAAAGATAAACTCTTTCATGAAGATACCCACCACTGTCAGATCAAACGAATGTGATTTTTTACTTCATTAGCACGTGTGATGCAGAGGACATTTGAGAACTGATGTGTCATCAAAGTGACCCTCAAAGGTTAAAAGTTCACATCAATGAGAAAGACATGTCAATACACGTCAGTTTCTAAGAGCCCGCTTTCATCCATGTGCCTCACCATGGTGGCTACAAGCTCCAGAAGGTGTTCGCCAATGGGAGTTACTTGGGAGGGGCCAAGGAGATCCAGTGCCTACACAATGTAGCGGCGCTGGAGGCAGTCCTAGAGGGCTGCAAAGAGGTGATGATGAGGAAGGATGACTTCTAATAGGTTGCAGCAGCAGTCTAGCAACACTGATTATATACTATAAAACACTGAGGGTATTTTGGGAAGGGTTCTGTAGGGTTTTCTTCTCTTTTAAGAGGTGTGAGAGGTTGATGATGGGTTTTGGTGGTTTCCACCATTCCTCCCCTCTGTCTGTGTTTCTCTGCTAAGAGGAAATTCTTCTCCACGTCTGACTATGTTTCTTAACAGTAATGAAAGATAAGAGGTAGATATTATTGACTAACTAGAGAACGATACAAAAATGAGTTTGATACGTACAATAGACCACACGAAATCCTCTGTTGCAAGGGCCCTGGTGAGCTCATGTTTCTTCAGAATCGCTTTGACACCTACTTGGACCTGGAATAAACCAAATAAGCTATGTAACAACTTAATTTGAGTGAGATTCACAACCGACTGAATGTACACATCAAAGTTCTGAGCTCATGGGAAAGGGGAACGAAGATACCTGATGATAGAACTTCCCAAATGCATAGACAATAGGTTCTGAGTAAGGCTTTGAAGCAGCATGCACTTTGTCCACATGAGGCTTCAAGTCTGTCATAACTTGATCAAAATACAGCTTGCAGAGCCTCCAGGCATCCTGCAACCACATCTCATTCTCACTCTGATAAATATGGAGAAATAATGGTCTTTAAAGTTTGGATAACGAAACTATATATGGTAGAGTTTGGGTAATCCATCACCATTCAGCCATAATATTATTGGTATTAAGTACCTGGAAGTAAGGATCCACTGCACCTTGTATCTGGACTGTGTGTGGCTTAAGAATGATCACAACAGAGTTATAGATCTCAATAGTTTTTGTGGCCACCAACTCTGTATAAGGCATGATGAATGTTCTGATAGTCACCCATAGTTCCTTCAACATGGGGATCCATTTCTTGAACAAAGATTAAACAAAAATAAGGATACAATTTTATTAGATGGTCCAAAGTTAAAATAAATCGCTGAAGAATGTGACACAGGAACAGCAGAAGGGAACAGATTAGAGGGAGAAAAAAGACAAAATGCTGCATCAAAATGACGTCATGAGAAACAGACATAATTGATGCAAACCAAACAAGAATTAACAGTGGGAAAAATTTCCTGTCGTGACAATTCATAGAAAAATTGCTGGTTATATAAAATTACCCCAGCCTCAAAACAAAAAAGGAAAACTACCTAGGTCGAATCCCTCGATTTATTAGGATGCTCAACCAAATTAGGAAACCGACCCAACAACCTAACCCTTAGTTATACGTTTTTCCCACAATAATAACTGTCAGTCAACATAAAATTTTGTTTCCTTGGCTAAGATGGTAAAATTTTCAGAATATTGAGAAAAATAGAATATGATACGAGCCCAACACTGTTATCCGGGATCGTATCTGAATACCAATGGAAATAAAACCCAGCAGAAACTATTATTGCCATAGTTCTAATTAATTTTGGACCTCTACTATTTTTTTGTTAGCCTTTTCTGTGTATACAGATTTCTGTTTCATTCAATTTTTCAATTTAACTTAGCGTCCACATATAGCAGAACCCTTTTCGCTGTGTCCAGTTAGCTTCACCTTTACAGGTTAAACTAAATCAGCCACAAGACTCTCTTGGATAACGGATTACATGAGGATACCAATAGAATATCCCCGATCAAGGGTATTTCTGAAAACGAAAAGACATTTCTAATTTTCAGAAAAGTTCCCAGTGATGGCAGCTTACCGTTTTAGCTGTTTCTAAATGGCACTCAGCCTTCTTTTGTGCCTGAGCAGATATTTGTGACACCTGCAACAGATTAAAAAGCTTAGACCAGTGTGATCAGCAATCATGCACAGAAAAATCTCAGCATTCCATCCATAATGATTTCAGACTCACTACTCTCTTAAGAGTTTATTCCAGACTGACTCGATAATGAAAAATGAATTACCTCGTTTTTTAGGTAAACTGGGTTAAAATGCATAGCCTAAACTTACACCATACTTTGATTCAAACCAATTTACAAGGTAAAATATCCAGGCAGTGATCTTTCGAATCAAGTAGTTCTATTTTCTTGTGCAAATCCCAAAATCAGAGTATTTACAGATACACTGAGTTGATCCAGAGTATTTTCCTCAAACTCATGTAAATTACTGGTTTAGAAATAATATGGATTACCTTTTCTAGAAAAATATCATAGTTGGGTTTCCCGTGATTCTTCCAGTAGAATGCCAGAGAAGCCTATAATTGGAAGATACTTATCAAAAATAGCACGCATAGTGATATCAGCCATTATATTGCATATGAGAATACCTGACAATGATTCGTATGAACTAACAACCAATGAGGAAGCCATGCTCCATGAACCTGTTCAGGAAACGTGAAACTTCTCTTATAATGGCCATAGAAAACATTAGAAACTTAAGCTTAAGTTGCAAGGCATACAATAGCCATATATAAGACCCTAGATGCTCCTGATATCGGATAAATAGTAGAGAACAACCGCAGATGTATGAAGCACCATGATGAGGGGTTAAACATTAGCTATCATTTCTCAAAGAAAAAAACTTTTTTGCAAAAAAATTACAACCAAATGGGGAACTGGACTATAGATAAGAAGTTAAAACACAAATTTCACAACACCCTACCTCTGCCAACTCTTTATTCTTCAATGATGCCTCAAACTGTGCCTTCATCAATTCTTCCTAGTGAAATTTGAAAACAAGCTTACAAAAGGCAGCACCTCAGAAAAAATTATACAAAAGTAGTGAGAATGAAATAATACCTCAGCATCCTTAAGTGCATGATTTGTTTTCTTAATTCTCATTTTTTGCTCATCATTCGTCTTTTGAAGCTACAATGGCAGAAGAAAAATGATATGACTGGAGAATTATTTACTCATCTGACATCCGGGTTCGCAAATGGGCATCAAAATCATTTCGCAATCCATGAAAAAATCGTTGTCTAACAGTGTATTTGGCTATGTTTTCCTACCGAGGTCGCACCAAGAATTCTTATAATACAAAGAAAACAAAAAAATATACACACACATTTGGGAGTTCTATGGATAGGATGTGACCAAGTGAAGTAGGAATAGGAATCATATTAATCCAATCAAAATGCAAATGTGAATTTGACAACTTATGTAGTAACACGAAAGACGCACTAGAAGAAATTTAAACGTTGATAAAGATTGAGTGGACAATCGATTCTTGCTTTCAGTTGTTGCGTTTGACAGCTTTTTGTCCTGTACTCAACATCCAGATTCCCGTTGGACTGGGGAAGTCCTCATCCATGGCTGAATACTCCATGACAAGTTAAACAGTTTCAGAGGCTTAAACCCAAATTCATGCACAGAGGGGAAGATGCAGTGCATAATACGTTCTCTGAGTAGCATGACTCCTACTGGAGAAAACAAACTAACTATGAAATTAGGTTGCCAATTCAAAGATCAACCTAGTGTTGAAAAGTTAATATCGATAGAAATCAACACCAATTTGAAGCTCTCACCTCTTGCTGTCGACTGCTCAAAGACCAGACTTTTCGTTTGTGCCATTTAATTCTCTGCATTCGCTTTGTAACCTACTTTAGAAAAAGGCATCTACTCGGTGGATTTTATGAAATCAATTATCCTACAAAAGACATAAGAATCGTGAAACCGTAATAATCATTGGAGGTAAGTACACTTTCGAAAACTCTAGAGGATTTAGAAATTTTCTGGCCATCAACGACTGAATGATGCCAACACATTGGGCCACGATAGCAAAGTTAAGAAGAAGGGATGAATCATTGGAGTTCACCCTACAGTTAGGAAAGAATCAAAAAAATTAGGGACGAAACGGTTTGAGCTAGAGATTCATGATCTTCTTTTTAAACCAACTATCAAACAATGTTGGACGTTAACGGATAAGCAAGATACGGTGAAAATCATGGAGAAGGAATCAAGTGATGAATGAAAAGCATTTAGTCATGTTTTACTTCCTCCTACATTTTTCCTCTTTTTTCTTTTGGGTATGAGGCCAGATGGCACAAGTAATTTCGAAGGCAAAGGCATTCTTTTTCCTCAACTTGTAGCAAGTGAAGCATCCAGATCTTAAAACAAGTAATCTGGAAAAGCCATGCAAAAGTCCCCCAAGGAGAGTTTCCTTTCAGCTCTCCAAGTAGCTATACATTCTTTTCAAGGCTTTCATATCCTTCTAGCACGACAAAAAAAGGCACACATAACAGTCCTCGTTCTCTCTCTCCCTCCCTCCCTATCAGACACTGACATAAAGAAATATATATATATATATATATATATATATATATATATATATATATACACACACACACCAATGGGGGAAAAAAAGGGGTTCTGACTTTCTCCTACACTTTAGTCTTGCAGTAAGAAAGGATACATCCTAGTCCTCTTTCTCAAATTCACGATTACATTTTCCATGATGTGACTTTTTGGTTGAGTTTTCCTGAGAGTTGCGGTGATCCTTTATGTACAAGAAAAATTGCAACAGTTCTAGTTTTTCCCTTCACTATTTTAATAAAACATCCTTGTTGAACTGATTCAGAACAATTCACAAAGATTTATGGGAAGCCCTTTCAATTTTGTATTGCATTCTGGAGAGTGCGTTCTTTGTTGAATTCTTTGTTTCTCATCACATAAACGCTCACAGTAAATTTTGTGAAAAAATAACTCTACAGAAAGTAATCCCATTGTAGCTTTCATCCAACAAATTTCAAAAACTGATGAACCAACGGTTACTAGCATTGACTCAATAAAAAGCATCATTTCCCGGGCTTTAATCACACATGATTGCCAATATCTTTTAACGAGATTTGGAAACTCAGTTACTATAAAAAGTCGGAATATCGGCTAGCCATTTGGAGTGATGATAAGTTCCTCCTCACTTAGTAGCCTTTCACATTTACCGTAGACATGCACTGACTATTATTACGATAGAGACAACTCGTAGCCTCATAACTTCGGGGGGAAGGGGTGACGCGGGGGGTCAGAGTGACCAGGCCTGGGAGACTGTTTACCAAGAACACCAACAACAACAAAAAATCTCAAGAGAAAAAATAATTATATAATTTCTACCTTGCGTCTTCATACAGTATATTCCTCCAAGATAAACTTCCGAAACAATCAATGATTATTTCTTAAGAATATTTATGACGGTAGCATCTAGAGGTAGACAATGGACAAGGTCTAATTGTCAGCGGTGACAATGACAGATTGACAGTGGCAAATATCTCTGGCGTGCTAGACATAGGCTACCAATTCTCAAAGATGCTAAGGAAAAATATGGTGTATCTAAGAATACCACACAATGTTAGGTCAAAATGACCTTGAATGATCCGAAAAATGATTTTATAGGAGAATAATTTGGACAAGACGTATGACATTAAATAAATGACTGTCAGAAATTTTGCATACTTACTCTCTGTAGCAATAGATTTAGCTCCTCCATTTTCTTTTCTGCTTCAACAGCTCTAGCTTCCAAAGCATCTCTCTTCCAGACTTGAGATTTTATCCCACCTTTAAGTTTACCGATCTGTAAAGAGAATTCACTTCAAGAGAGAGACAAACTACGACGGAAAAATATTTTTCTTGACAGACCTGGAGCTCAAGCTCCGTAGCACGGGTGTGAACTCCCCCCACTAGCTTTTTAGAATCAACAGCGCCCTCTTTCTAGAGAAAATGAAGATAAAAATTTTCGGGCGGTGAAGGCAGAAACAAAAAAAATGGAAACTATTACTATCAAGACATCATCGTATAATCTCACCTCTAGTGATTCAATTTCAGCCTGTAAGGAAGTAATGACCGCTGACTTTTCATCGATGCTGTTCTCTTGCTGCACAAGTGTTTCATCTTTGGCTTTCAACTGTTGATTTCCTACGGCAATGCTCGCCTCTTCAAAAAAAAGAGGAAGAAATAAAATTTTAAATGTGTTCCAAGATCCAGGTAGAAAGGAGAAATATGAACAGAAAATGCACTGGGATTTTTTCTCTATCACATGAGCTGCACAGATATTTTTTCTTCTTGTCGTAAAGGTTAGATGATGGAGCTAGGGAAAAAAATAGCTCCTGCGTCTTGACATTTCTTAATGGTCGTCGTACATTACGACGAAAAATATGAGGGCAGTGAATAGGAAGATCAGAAAGGCATCGGTCCTTTGACGGGTAGTGAACAGCCAACTCCATCATAATCCGCGACCTCCGAAATAAAGATACAAAAAAAAATTCGAGAAGATACAGAAACGGAGATCAAACAGACCGAGAGCGGAGACCTTTGACCTTAGCTGCTCCAATTCCGACCTCAGGGGCAACAGATCCTCCGACCCCTCGAACCCAGACTCTCCCCCGGTCACAACCAGCGCAACGCAGAAGGCAAGGAAGAAAAGCACGACCTTTGAAGCCCCTGCCATTGGAGAATCGGCCATTCTTGACCTTGTTGTCTCCCAGCTTCACGCAGGTAGTGCGCGGAGCGAGCGAGAAGAGAGAGAGACAGAGAGACAGAGAGACAGAGCGGGCAGGCATGCGAATCGTTCTCAACGGTAAAAAGGCCTCACGTGATTACACGTGGGAAGGCCATGGGACACGTGGAACCAACAACCTAAGCCCACCCACCCCATTCATAACGTCTCCAAACGAGGAAGGGAGGGTTCTATTTGTCTGGGATCATGATCTTCATGATCTTTTAATCATCATGCTGTATTATAACCCGCCCCGGGGATACCGGTCCTTTAGAAACATAATTCAGATGATAAGACCTCTCGGTCAAGATAGTCGCCGGCGCACGTAGGATGTGGTCACCTCCTGGTCAAACCATGGCATCCGATCTTAATTTCTTATCTCACGGAAAATTATGCAATGTTATCCTAATCTGAGATTCGAAATAGCCAGAGTCAAATGGGATCATCATATTTAGCCCGTTGACCATGAATCTAGGCTAAATATGATCGTTCTATGTTTATTTTCCACAGCGGGTTTTAGCTCAATCGAGCAGGGTTGACCTTACTGCTAATCGGTTTCAGCAGGCGAAGGATGTCGACGAAGGATTTCTCTGGTGGGAATCGAGCTTTGACTTATGGGAGGGCGTTGACCCTACGGTCCGATGGACGAGGATCATCAAACGATGTACCCCCCCTCCCCCGCTGTCTGATCAACGGAGCGTTGGAATCTGGTATTCTTTGTGGCGACTTTCTATCAGTCGATGACCTGCCGGACATTGTTAGCGAGTCCCTCGACGGTGACTTTGAGGCGATCAGGATTCCGGCTCATGCGAGGTCAACGAGGTATCCTTGTTGAGTCCACGCGCGGTCGTCGTGCATGATCGGCACTCCTGGACGAAATAGATAGACAGATAGATAGATACGGCTCAATATCATGGCCCAGAACATCTCTCTCTCTCTCTCTCTCTCTATACCTCTGTCTCTGCATATTCGTATCTATATTCGTCTGTAGAAACGTATCTTTCTCTTTCTCTCAACCTCTCTATCCATCTCTCTCGCCATCTCCTGCGCTGGAGGGTAACCTGTTGCACCGACTAGGCATTCCCTCAGCAGCCTCCACGTTATCATGTTGGGGCGCCTGCGATGGCCCACTATGACCGGAGCTTCTTTTTGGGCCTCCACAGTCGGATCTGTTCTTCACTGTCTTGTCGGGTCCAGTAACTCCCAGGCAACTCATTATTGGACCAAAGCCACTTATTGGTCTGTTCGGCAGACTAGAGAAAGCAGAAGGTGGAGGCCCAATAAGTCAGAAGACCAGTACTGGGACGTAATATTGGGTCATGGTATTGGGCTGTAATTAAAACCCATAATGTTAACACAGACGAGGTTGACAGCCAGACAACAAAGGTGGCAGACGAGTAGGTCAACGGTGGACTGCGATGTGTGTTAATGGGTCAGACAGGTATAAGCCCTGCCCAGTTCCTATGTGGACCAGAATGGCCTTCCATAGGCAGCTCTCTCTCTCTCTTTCTCTCTCTCTCTCTCTCCCTTTCTCTCTCTTTCTCTCTCTAGCTCTCTCTCTACCCAGTGATGAATATGTACAGAGGACCAGATTGAGCTTATACTACACATAGGAGCCAAGCCCAGAGCTAAATTTTCAGGCTTTCCTTTAGAGTCGAACTGAATCTTGAGATTGTGAAAGACGTTCAGGCTTACAAGTTAGACAAGGTTCCAGTCCAAGGCTACCCATTGCCACTATTAAGAAACTTGACATCAAAATCATGAGAAGGAAGAATTTAGTGATCATTAAAAGCAAGTTATCCACACGAACAGGGACACCAATGCCATGGGTTCTTGCCAAATCTAGGGCAGAAGAGAGCATCTTACTCTACAGGCGTGTGAAATGGACTCTTGAGTCAGACCTAAGAAGCGCAGTAAATTTTTGTTGAGTCTAAATCTCCACATATACAAGATATGCCACGTAAGTGATTGAAAGACGGCTATGGTCTTCAGTTTTCTGTTGAAGCTACATCAAAGCTTGGACTAGATCTGAATAGGGTCTGGGCTGATCGATCCATGCCTTTTCTTTGTGGGTGCTCCATTTGTTGCAGAAGGAAAGGGTGAGAAAACTAGGGCAACTAGGCTGCAAGCAATATAAGCTTACCCAGCCCGCTGATATGAGTGGATATGAATGATTTTGGAGTTTTGACGTTGGTAATGCAATCATAATGTGTCATAATGTAGATCTCTTGATCATATACAGATTCCAAGTGAGTCTTTTTTGTCCATTCAAGTCAATATTTCTCCACGCAATTGTTTATATTTTGACCTTGTTTGGCGCTTGAGAGTTGAAAGCCCATCTCTCTCCATGCCATGACAATGAAAATAGGAAGAATTTCTCGCAAAGGTTTGTGCTCATGAACGCTTCCAAATTTCAGATTTCACTCTAGGAACAGTATATAAATGAAAATCTTGTGAGAAATCCATGTATCATCCCTGGAAGAAGAGATTTCGGATAGGCTTTGCCCATAGTATCTAAGCTAGGTCACTCTAAGAAAAGTGGAAAAAATTGTTATTTTTTATATTTTCTTCACATATTTCGTTAGGCTCAGAATTTCCCCACCATTCTCTATAAAAAAACTGGTCATTCGCCTTAAATTGTAATCATCATAGATTTTATTTCTACCACATTGTATCCAATTGTCCATACCGAGTTTAAAAGCTGTTCTAGCTTATCGACCCACATGAAAGTTTGCCTGATGGTAATTCTCGAGCCAACTGAGTAGAAAGAGAAATCAAATATTCCACTGATCGTTCTCCAAAAGGGCCCAACGAAGACCAAAGCTTTTAACCAATTAATCATTCTGATCAAAACACGCATTTCATTGATTTCAATTTATATAGTTTTGTAACCAATAATATGAAGCAAAAACATAGAAAAAGTTAGGTCTTCGCACCTGTTCAACTGCCTGCTGCCCGGACGCTGAAGGAAGGTGATAATAGTAGTGGGGGGAGGGTTGGAAGATTCTGGTTCTGGCTGTGGCTGACACGATCCGATCCTACTTACAGAGTACGGTTACAATTTTAGGACATAAGAGTCTATACTCATCAGTATCATTTTGACGCGCAAATTATGCCAAGATTCAACCACCCATTGGCTCTAATGGAAGTAAATGGAGACTGAAGGCTGGGGGGGATTGGAATAGAAGTTAGCCATGGCTTCCTCTTCTCTTGAGCTGGATGGCCGATTGCACCGTAGGCTGGCGCGGCGAGATCGTCCTGACATGAGAGGAAGAAAGCAGGATGTAGCCAAGAACAACCCGCCGGCGGATCAGGGCTAGTGGCGCTGTGCTTCTAGGCCTTACGGCAGGCGCCGGCAAGTCATTCTTGGCTGCACTCTACTCTCCGCTTCCCCATGCGAGGAACTTCCGCACTTAAGGACCAATCCAAGGATGAAAATACTGATCTCTGCGTCTCTCGGGGCGGACTCTCTTGTCTTCCCCCTGTCCTGGTGGATTTATAGCCGGTGACGAGAGGAAGTCCTCTTAACCAATGGCTGCCCGCGATGCCCGATGTCGCCGCCTTGATGAGTGGGGGAGGAAGTTCTGGGGCCACATAATGGAGAGAGACGCTAGAGCATCCCGCGGCGCATGCCCACCATTAAAGACGACCCGAATCCTTCCTCTTTCAGGCGGATCAGCTATCTGAGGCTGCGGGCATTTGTGGGAGAGATTCCGTTTTAAGAAAGGTTTCAGAAGGAGAGGAGTGGCTGGGATGCACCTTGATGGCGGCCGTCCTTCCTCCACGCTACCCCGCTCCCCCAACCTCTCCTGGGAGTTTGTTAATCAAATCCATCTATCTATGAAGGCTGAATGACATCGCCAGGCGACGATGAGGAAGGGAAAACCGCGGGTTTGTCTCGCCGGAACACATGTGAACCTACAGGTTCGAGCTTCCTGGGGAGAAATCGGCCCATCTTTCTCCCTCTGATTTCCCTTTAGGGGTAAGGGATCTCGCACCGGAGGATCAGTGGGGAATGGCCTTAATTAGAAAGTGGGACACACGAGGCACATTCACCACTGGATCTGAGACACCAGCGGTAAGCCCGCGAGGGGAGGGCGGGCTTCGGCATCGCCAGCTGTTCGCAGTAAGCAGTCCGATTCTGACGTCTGAGCAGACGTCTTAAAGGACTCAGCCCGCAAATTGGGTAGCTCCGCTGACTTGTCGTGAGGACCTGACCTATCGAATATGGAGAAGTTGAAAGCAACACTTCCACCCGCGTAGGGGGGGGAGGAGAGAGAGAGTGTGTGTGTGTGTGTGAGAGAGAGAGAGAGAGTTAATAAGAACCCATTTCCTGTGGATTAAGGGACAGATCACGACTGTTCAAGAGGAAGAAGAAAGAGGAGGAAGAAGGCGTCGGAGGTGACTCTAAAAATGGTACAATAAAATCGATGGATAATGGGCTACACAACTTGGCGATGGTAACATCCAAACCGTCGCGTCCATCGGACGGCGGTGGCGCTCCATATGGCATGCCCACAGGGGCGGATCGGCACGCTGGTGGTCCAGGGGGTCACACCAATTACAATGGTCAATTCCAACTGAAGACACAGATATTGAAGATTGCGCGCTAAATCTGCGTCGTTTCTTCAGAGTACTTGAAGATTAGCGATGTACGATGGTACAGTGACTCATCGATGGATAGAATTATGGCTTTAGACGGAAACATGGGGGGGGGGGGAGAGAGAGAGAGAGAGAGAGAGAGAGAGAGAGAGAGAAAATGTATCATAACGTAGGAAAGCGAGAGAAGAACATGGTCCATGGCCTGCAGAGTGATCAGGGACGACAGAGGCCAATTACTGCGAATCGAGATCTTCACCGAAAGAGGGGAGAGAATCTCTTATGATCAGGAGGGGTCCCTCCCAAGTAGAATGGGGACAGGGGGCTAGATGACAGTGGAACTGGTCGGGGAATATCCCTCGAATATT